GGAAAGAGACTTCAACAATTATTACTTTTAGCACGCAGTTCACGGAAGGAATTAAATGAAAATTTGACGCCATTAAAAAGAAATAAAAAAAGTGGCGAGGAGGAGTGAAAGTAAAGGATATACAGAAGCGACGTTTTAATGGAGAGCAGGTGTTAATAGGATTTTCGTGAAACGAAAGATTATTGAATTATTATTCAAGTTAATAATATTAAAAAAAATTGTTCCTTCCATTGTATTTGAGGCGTAGGTAGGATAAAAATGAGAAATTGAATAGGACATAAAAAATTTAATCCCCAGAATATTATGTCGGAGAAAAAGGGGGAGAATAAGAGATTATAATGATATTCATAATGTACCTTAGATCTGTGAAATATGAGATAATTTATTTTGCAAATATTTCCATAGAAATTTAATGTAATAAATTAATATATTGATTTTTTTGCAGGAAAAGTTACTCAAGATGAATAGGATAGAATAGATTTTTTACCGTAGTCTACAGCCAAGAGGATTAAGAGTAAGTACATAAGTAAACAATTTTGTTATAGTGAAGGGATTGGGAGAACAGGTTGTTACTGTTACAGGAAGAAGGGGATGGTCTTTAAATTTTCATTTAAATATTCCAATTTTGGAATCAAAAGTTTAAACTATGTAGGTTTTTAGTCGTACTTAAATTGATACAATGGCATCAATGACAGTGTGTTGTAGCGTCAGACTAAGGTTCAAAATGATATTAGGTTAAATTCTAGGTCAGAATTCTGTTTGAAGCTAGTTCTTCATAACTTTGATCTAGTCACGAAGATAGTTTCATTTGCTGGGTAAAGAATTGAAGGTTTGGCTACAGATTGGGTCGCTTTTACTCGAAATACAAGCTTACACTAGCACTTAAATAATATCTTCTCAGTCTCTTGTGCACACAACTCGTTTTAATTGATTTGGTTGTTCAAAACATAAAGTTCCAACATAAAAATTATCTCTGGTGCTTGTCAGACCCAAAACCAGAGTCAAACTGACTCAACTTCATCCGAAATTCATGTCAACCTCGATCACTTCTTAATATTTAAAACAGCCAACGAATTCCTTTAAATATCTCTTTAAGTTGTCAATCAAGAAGTTTCCTTAATCCTCAAACCAACAGTTATAGACATCAACACTCTCTTCATCTATTCTATCATTTAAACATATTCAACGGCAATTTCCTATCGATTTTTTCTAAAACTCACTGTCATCCCTTAAAAAAATGCTAATCGCTCATTCTTCATTATCCTGAATATTCTACTTTTTATGACATAAAACAGGAGAAGACAAACATTGTGTTGCTGGTGTATTTTTGTGTATATATCTTTTGTTTGTTCCTTTATGATAAATATGAAACAATAACTTATAAAAAGAACATCTGCTTCTCATGGTTTTTCTCATTCCAAAACATTCATCTCCTTTGAATCGCTGGATGGATGGAAATGTGAATTGTATTCCTTTTATTTTAATAAACAAATATTCTTCATTTGGATGATTCCTTTTGGTTTCACTTTACTTACCTACTTCTCATGTACAAACACACGTTAACATAGTAGCCAAGTTAAAACAACAAGAGCACTAGCACTAAGAACAAGAAGAAGTAGAAAGCGGAATGTTTAAGTAAACAATCTTCATCCTATTTCCATTTATTCATCTCCTAGGGATACTTAGTGTTGAGCATGTTGAAAGGTGGTTGTAAGGAACAAAAGATAGAGAATGAGCGGGATAAGTTATTTGTTTTGCAATCAATTTTTAATATCACTTTGCTAGCTTCAAGGAAATGGATGTGAAGTAAGAAGAAAATTTCTTTTAAGTAAGTCTGAAAGTTTTTTTTTGTTCGTGGATGTAAAAAGGATCTTCTTACAGTGCGTTGTAATAATGGATGGAAGTAGGAGAAGTTATTGGCTAGATAAAAGGAAGTGAGCGTTGTTATAAACTAGACGTTGATGAATTAGGAATTGCAGTTGAAATTCAACATCCAGGAATTGCAAATTTTTTTGATTCTTGTTACATGAACTATAATAAGACGTATGTTAGTGTCACGGCTCAGTTTTCAGTCACAATCTATCATTTTTGAAAATTTTAAAGTTGCTGAATTGATCCTTACTTACCAATAAACCAGGACATTATGACCCTCAAAAACTCCCATCACTCAAAATATCACCAAAATACCAGTCGATAAACTCAGCATGAAGAAGAAATATTAAATTTCTAATGGAGCTTATCTTCTTTACAAGTCGACACAATATATAATAAATTCCTGTTTGACGCTTAATGTCTGTAAACGATTTTTTTTTTCAGCAATAATGAATTTTTATGCATATAAAATTCATTCATTCGTGTCTTATGCTCTAATGGATTTTTTATAAGACATTTTAATGTATTTAGCAATTTCATTCATGCACCAGACATCAATGTAAATTAATACGCGATTCTTCATCCTTTTTGCTTAGAATGACTGCTCCTTTTTCGTAGCCAAAAACATGTAATTTGGTTTATGAAACTCATTCATCAATCATTATTATCAATATAGTACTTGTTGTTAGTGTGAGTTATTGTTGATGTATCTGACAGCGCTGCTGAAACATAACAAACAAGGCTGATTAACTTAGTAACTCAATTACAGCAGTGTAATTATAATATGGAGGTGACATCAAGGTAGAAATTTTTTGGTAATTATTATGTAGCGTTAATTCAATAATATTGTTGACTTATCATGATCAAAAATTTATGAGCATTATATGTTTGATGACAAGTTTTGCAAATGTGTAAATGGAAGTGCTGAGTCTGATTTACGTGATTATTACTTATTCATAGATTACATATTTTTAGAGTTCATTCACCCATAGACTTGACATTAGTATTGCTGTTTTGTTTACATTTCCATATCAAGATTTTGACATTAAATTTCAACCAAATTTCATGATTATGGATTGTTCAAATAGTTTCAAAGTAACCAAAAAGAGTGAGCAAACATTTAAACATTCGATTTGTTCAGCTATTATTATTATTATTATTATTATTATTATTATTTTATTGTTCGTTCCTCCATTCATGAGCTATACAGCTCAGAAGAGCTAAAAACGCGGAAAAATTCAAAATAGATAAAAATAACGGTTATTTTGGACATTTCTGATTCAATGATAAAAATTCAATGACATTTAAAATATAAAGTGGCAAAACCTAGAAGAATCAACAATAAAAAGTTCAAAAATGATTTTCAAAATTTTTCCATCCCTCATTTCGTGCTTACTATCTGTCGCATACAGTATGATGAAAATCGTGGGTAAATTTCCCTTCCATCAAACAAAAGACATATTATGTCATGCACATTATAAATGTACTCAGCAGTGTCTTGTGAATAATGCAAATATTTTCCTTTCCATTATGCTGTACGCTGTACAGCAAAGCAATCCCTCTGTAATAATACTCATTGATGGTGTTGATGCCTCGTTGTTTTCTTATTTACAACTAAATGGATGGAAATAATACTAAGAACGATGGAAGATTGATTAATGCATCGATTATCGTACGTAATGTCATCATCAATATAAACAAATCAGTAAATCCACATTTACTGCGAGTGACATGAACAATCAGGCTGAAAGAAAAGAAAACAAAGGAATGAAAAATTTGATCAAATTTGTTTTGTGTGGACACACGGAGATATGTTGTTCCTACGTTTTCTGGTGGCGCTGACTTAAGCACACATGCCAAAAAATTCTTTACTAGCCGCTTTTAATGCTGACAAATGACATTTTTGCGAGAAGGAAAAAATAAAAATATCAACATGTACGAATCGATAGGCGCGCGTACTTACATCAATCAATCTTGTGCCTGTTAAATGGCGCTTCTATACAACAACAACACTTGGAGATATAAAAACAAAACAAAAAAATGAATTAAATGAAATGAATGGGCGAGAAAGAGAATTGGAAATAGAATGAGAGAGAGCAAAAAAGAAAAATGATTTTTATTCCTTGTTTTTACAATCCATTAAACAATTTCCCGATGCTTGCAGACATTTTATTCGATATTCTGATTCGCATTTAATGCAAAGTGATTTATACACGCTTGAATTGGCAAAAAGAATCAACTAAACTGGCATCTATGAATGTGTGGAGCTGATGCTGATGTGTATGTGTGTGGATATGTGTCGAGTTATCGCACTGTCAAGTCATTTATTTAGTTTTCATATTTTTTCTACTGGAATGTTTACTTTGAGCAGCGTTTTGAGGCCGTTTTGATAGTTGAAGAATTAAAATTTAAAAAACGTAAAGTTTGGAATCAAATTTATACTTTTTGAACCAATTTTGAATTTTTCAGAAATAGATTTGAGTTTGAAGAAACGATTTCAAACTTTTTTGACCATTTCCAAATTTTTGAAACTAATTTGAAATTTTTAAAGGCAGTTATTAATTCACAGAACCAGATTTAAGGTTATGAAACCAGTTTTAAGGTTGTAGAACCAGATTCTAGGTTTTAGAACCTGATTTAAGATTGTAAAACCAGATTCAATTCTGTAGAATCAGATTTAAAGTTGTAAAACCAGATTCAAGGTTTTAAAACTAAATTCAAGATTGTAGAACCAGATTCAAGAATGTAGAACAAGATTCTAGGTTGTAGAACCAGTTAAAAAGGTTGAAAACCCAGATTTAAGATTGTCGAACCAGTTTTAAAATTTAATCTCAATAAATGATCAAAAATGCGCTAGAATTACTCATATCAACTCATCCCTAACTTCACAATCCTCGACACTTGCATTTTTCAAAAGCATAAGGAGCAAAAAAACAACCTTTTTGATGACAAATGTTTGAATTTCTGAAAAATGGCAAATAAAAAAAATCGTAAATGATTTATGAATGTGCAATTTTTTTCTTGCTTTATTCTTTGTGCAAATACTTCTATGTCTACTCATAATATACAATAGGTTTAATATACACGAAACAAAAAATTAAAAATAAATTAACAATAAATATCAAGGAGACAAAACTTTTCTCAATTCTCGTGAACTTTTTGAACCTTGAGGATTAGGAATTACATACTTTTTGTACCCAGCATAAGTCAAGTATTTTATTTGCTAAGGGTGCTCATGATTTGCAGATTTAAAAAAATTGCATTAATCTCTTTTGAGTTCTGTTGAAGAAAGTTTTGTCTCTTTGATTAAAAAATTTGGTTCTTCTATTAGTAACAAAGTTTTCTTTCTCAGTCTAGTTTCATCTCCAGTTTCACGGTCATACAACATTGCCAAAGAGTCAACAAAGTTTAAATCAACTTCTTCGTTTGCTGCCAAAAGATTTAATGACTAAAAGAAAAATTTCTCTTTTTTTTTGGCAAAAACTTTAAATTAAATTTTGGAACTACAAGAGGTAGATGGACATGCTCATTAACTACAACTTAAATTATATATTTTTACTCTAAATCAGTAAAGATAATTTTCAAGTCTTCGAGTGAACTAAAATCATCATTATTCTTATGTACTAAGCTGCACGTCTCTCTCTGCACCATCAATGTCACTGGTAACTGTTCTGACATGACAGAATGGTGTGTAACAAGTGATGCAATTGTTGGAAAGAACTTTGCTTCTCCTTTTATCCGATATCCTTTTTTTGATTGCAGGATGAGATAGTGGCTGACTTTAGACGATGACTTCGATGGCACACGTAGTGATAGAATAAAGTTTGAGGATTTGAGGGAACTTTTGTGAATTATAAATGATCCGGGACTTTGATGTTTCAGCATTTCGAGTGAAAACTTTCCAAGTAATCCACTTTGGTACCAGCTGTTACTCGTCAAGTCTTCAGCTTCAATTTCAATTGGTTTGCTTGCAGTCTTTGAACATGATTTGCCAAATATTTCATAAATACCCGAAGCTACATATTCATCAAGATCTCCTGACTTCTGTTAAAATTAGGAGAAAAAAAAGTAAATCATTAGTCGAAATGTTCCTTAATGAACATAATTAAAAAAAAGTTCTTACTTCCTCTCCCTCATTCAGGTCATGTAAGCGTTCATGCTGTGTCGAAACTTTACTCAGGAACTTGTTCAAGCACTTGTACAGACTCTTTTGATTCTTGTTTTGCTTATTATTATTTTGTTGCTCTCTTAACTTTTTAATGATTTTTTTCTCTGTTGCGACACTTGCTGCATCTTCAACTGTTACTTTTGATTCCTCGTAATGTTGTTGCTGGCTCTTCATGATGATGAGTTTTTTGCAAGAGTTCTGTAATGGGAGAAAATGATGAAAATTTAATAAAATTGATTTATAAATGGATTTTGTTTAAGTTTGTGGGAGGAATCATGGTTGATTTACAGCTGCTGTTAGTGAATTAGACTTGCAGAAATTTTAGTTTTTGATTTGCGAAAAAAAAAAACCCGGGAAATCTCAAAAATATGAAAAATTCGAGTGTTTTGTATTTTCCCGAAAAGCAAAATAACGAAAAACAATTTTTACGAATTTTCAAATTTACGAATGTTCATTTTTACGAAAATTTTTATGGTAAAAACGTATAGGATATAATTTGAATCTCAAAAAACCGTTGGATAAAATCAAATATTGAGACAGTTAAAAGTAATTTAATCATTTAAATGCGATTAGATATGATAAAATAATTATTAAAAGATGAAGGATTAATAGAACTGAAAAAAGATTTGCATTTATTTAAATGTGAAATATTTTTTCTATAAAAATTTTACTTTGCTATAAAATTTTCTCATGGAATTACCCATAAAACAAGAATAAAATATTACACATTTAAATAAATGCAATTCTTTTTGTAGTTCTATTAATCCTTCATCTTATAATAATTATTATATCATATCTATTCGCATTTAAATGATGAAATTGATGTAAATTGTCTTTTACTGTTTGATTTAACCAACGAGTTTTTGAGATTCAAATTATATCCTATAAGTTTTTACCATAAAAATTTTCGTAAAAATGAACATTCGTAAATTTGTAATTCGTAATAACGGTTATTCGTTATTTTGCTTTTCGGGAAAATACAAAACACTCGAAAAATTCCAAACTAAACTCAACTCTGACCGAAAATTCAAGTTTGTGAATAAAATTTATGAATAATGGATATATCTTCTGTTAAATCTATTGAAAAATTACATTTTCCAGACTTCATTAATCTCAAATATCTCCCAAACATACATCCACACATAAAATAATAGAATTTTATGCATTTTTTAAATTTAAACAATTTCATTCTTGTGGAAGTTGTTGAAATGTGGAAAAAACTATTTTTTTTTGTTGGCAGAAGGAGAGAATAAATGAATGAAAATCTTTTAAAATTGAAACTTGAATAATCGGTCTGTTTGAAAAATAATTTCTTTATTATGTAAAAAAAATAACTCAATAAGAAAAGAAGGATTGGTGCATTCTTGAAGATGAATACACTTCAATGAGCTATAAACGATCCGAACACATTTTTTATAGATTCACCGCAATAGAAAAAGAATTCTTTTCTCATAATTTTTTATTATCTTCATTGAGATTCCCATAGATATACACGATCCATAAAGTCATTGCAATGTGCTGTATAAATTAAACGTTTGTCACAGATGAATGGAATGAGGAATGTGGAAAGAAATATAGATAAAACATTATGTCGAAATGTGGGAGGGTTGAAAACCAACAAAAAATGTTGAATTTGAATTCAATCTTAGATAGTGCATCTCTTGTTCTTATTCTTACTTAACCAGAACGTAATTTGTTTCTTATGTGGTACTGTGCTGTACGTTAAACCACATTAAGACAAATGAGTATGATGTTGTGAGGAATAATGTACACACATTACTTATTTATGCATGTTTGAGGATATTCTCATGAAATGGGATGGAATAGAACTAAAATTCTTAATCCACATGTTTATTATTACATATTTGGTCATTGCCCATTTTTATTATTCCAACTAATTTTCCCTAATACTCCTTCATTCACGCACATGCTCGTATTTTCCACAGAAATTGATTGTGATACATTCTGACTCAAATTGAAGGTTGTTAGTCGTAATGTAAGTCATTATTCTAGAGCATTCATAGTTATTACTATGGATTACAATCAAAGTGCCTTTCATCAAGCCTTTTATGTGATGTTACAACATTAATATGGATTTAAGTGTCTATCATGATGTGCAACAAGGGAATTCTTCTTCTTTGTAAGTCTTCTATGGCATTTAAAAAATATTTTGAAAGTGATTGAGTGGAAAATATTTTAAAAATTTATCCGTTAAAAATTGAAACAATAAAGTATCATGTAGAACTTGAAAAGGAACATTAATGTCATGATCAAACAATAATTCCCCATCCAGAAAATCTCATTGTAAAGCCAATAAATTTCTGGACAATCATTTTCCATAGAAAATATTCCTTCATAATTCCCCATATTCAATTTCAATCATTTATTCAACATGACATCATCATCTTCTACTTCTTTTCAACAGTACAGGATAGAAAGTGATTCTATGTGAGCCACCCGTCAATAGCATTCTTCTTTTGAATGGATATCCAAAACATTTTGTAAAAGGGTGTTAAATCTTTTTATTTATCATTTTTTTTATATATGTGTACCTTAAAAACCCATAAATGACGAGATACTTTTTTTAAACTCAAAAGATGTTAAGAATAAATTGGAATGGTTGAGTAAATGTTCCTAAAGCGCAAGTGTACAAGACAATAACGGTTAAAATAATAACTTCAAAAAAAGATTCAAAAAGTAACGACTTTCAAAAATTTGAAAACTTAACTTGAAATTTGAAAATAACGGTCAAAAACTTACAACTTTATCTCGAAAACAGCAGTTTTTTTGATAGTCAGTCAAAATATAAATGCCATTCGCACTATCCAGCGAGAATTTGAGCTCAAAAGAATATAAGAAGAAAGAATGAAAGAATTTTTATGGTATTTTTCTCAATGTTGTACCATATCGTCATCATAATAAATTATTTTGATGCATTATAGAATCACACACAATTCCAAAAAAATCTAAACTCAACTCAATTCATTCTAGATATCGCGCAGTATTCTATGTTCCCAAAAAATATAAAAAGATTACAAATAAATGGGGAACATTAATGGCTTTTGTGTTATGTTGTCAGTGATATTGCTTGGTAATGTTTTAGATCTTGTAACGAAAAAAAAACTTGCTTACTCGATGAATCATCATGAATTTCAGTTAAAGGCAACCCCAACAAGCATGTATAAAATCCATTATGACGTTCCTTCGTTAAACTCTCGACTCTAATAAATTGCGCGATAACATCAATGCAAGTAATGCATTTACTTTCTATTATTTTTAGGGTGATCAAGAAAGAACATTTGGGGAGAGATAGAACCTAATGTCTAGTCTATGAATCACATACAGAAAATGTTTATTGTTGTTGTTACACAAAATTAATTTAACATGTTTTTTTATAGTCGATTAAAACGTGAGGTTTCTCCCTTTTTAAGTTCCTTATCTTGACTTTAAAATAAAATTAAAAGAAATTCGTTGGCTAACCTTTCGTAAGTTGCGTACGAAAGGGAATAATTTTTATATATTAGTCTCTCGAGGAATCGCATTTAGATAAAAGTTTCTGACCTATAGCGTGTGGAATGGCTATAAACAAATTTTTTGGAGATAAGCTATCAAAACTGTAGGAGACTAATGTCTACATACTGTAATTTATGAGCATCTTCAGGAAGAAAGGGTCAGTCACGTCAGCAAACGTAAATGTGCATGCATCACCAAGTTGACTTAATTCTCTTAACACTTCTTTTTTTTGTGCACATTATCTAAATCCTTTATATTTGAGCTGGTCACATGAATAACAAATACTGGACGACAGCAAGGCAATCTTGTTTGCTGAATAAATTAAATGAAAGACAGAAATCTCAGAAAACTCGTGTACATTTTCATGTCTTTCAACAAATTTTTATTGTTTCAAGTTGTTCCTTCTCATTCCATACACGAGAAACATAAGAATTGTCCCAAGAGATGAAGTTAGTGTGGTCAAAATGTTGAATATGCTTGACATAAAATGATAAATTTATGTAACAGAGACATTTATGGAGACAAACATATTTGTTTATATCTTCCTGTTGACCTACATTGACCATCATCTCATATTCATGACTGCTGACATCTTTGCATTTGTGGGGAGCTTCATAAGGAGGGATTGAGTTTTTCATTTTGTCTATTTTTGTAGATTTTTCTTCATTTTTAGCCGTTACGTTTTAATTTGAATTTTAACTGCTTTTAAAATTTTGAATTTCAAATATTTGAATATTATTCGAACGTTATTTTTTAAATCTATTTAAAAACAGTTATGATTCTTATTCAGTAAAACCAACTGCGTTTCCACCACACAAAATCGACCAAATATATTCTCATCGTTGGAGGATATTTTTATGAGCATGAGAAGCTTAGTTCAGTTATACAAATTTTCATGTTTTGTCTCGAAAATCTCTCAGTACTTATGCAGACACAACACTTGAATGGATAATAATAAAGGCAGAGAAAATTTGCTTCGATGCTTCCAAATTAGAATATAATAACGGTTGAATGATCGTTCTGAATGAAAAATCCTCTCATCACCGCTACTTTTTCATTCATTCTTGTTAATCGCATGATTTCTCAAGGATTTTCAATATTTTACTGTATTCAATATGAGATAAAATATTATAATACTATTGTGACTACTTTAATCCTCCTTTTTCTTCTCCTTACATTTCTGAATGAGTTTTCTTTTGATGGAATTGCGACAAAAGATTTGCGATTATCTCATTGTTATTCCTGCTTTTTTGAAGGACCTCTTTGAATATGCGGCAAATTTCTTCATGCTTTCTTCTTCGCCATTCAGGTGAGGAATTAGTTCGTGCTGAATCTGCTATTGTTCGATTTTTTGGATAATTATATTCCTTACATTTGCATTCGTTATCTTTTTTCAGACAGATTTAGGTGCTCTTGAATGCTTTAACTAAGGGATGTAGCTAGTAGATCAGGGTTCAATCTCATGAGAAGCTTCAATGCCATTTTCGATCTAGAAGTCTCCCCAATTCGCCTCCCTGACTACATCCATGCTCATGACTAAGCAAAATTTTAATTAGTAATCATATCCGACATTTGCTGTCAAAATTTTCCCTCAAGGATGTTCTTAATCCAATTAAAAACATTTTGCATCCAGCAACATGTAAAATCAGTTCTGAATTTCCATGGAAAAAAATATCAAATTTAATTAACAAAACCAAAAATGTTTTTTGTTAAGCGGATCTACACAACATATGCTCATTTATGTTTACGACATAATTCTATGTATATTAATAGTTGTATTTTTGCCGCGAGCAATGAAAATCCAAATGATTATTATCAATAATAATGGCACAGAAATTCATTGCTGATGTAAAATTTTGTTGTATTTATTTAACGATGCCGTTTTTATGGATATGCTGAGTAAATAAAATGCTGATGCTACATAAAAAAATTTTTACCTAACGAATGATTTTTTTTCGTAAATTCATCCCAAAACATCTCCTGAGGAAATGAAGCAAGGAGGATAATTGAAATGTCTCAACTTTCAATGCAATGACTTAACAACATCACGTAAATATTCAAAAATATTGTTATTGTAGCAGAGGTGGTCCTTGGTTGTGGATTATGGATTTTGAAATTTAAATTGTCAATTTTTTGAATTTGACGGTTGAAATTTTGAATTTTTTGAATCACACTAACACAATTAAAGGTTCATTTGAGTTAAATTTGCAATTTATTCATCAAATTCAGTTTTAAAACATGCCAAAAGGCTATGATTGCAACTTAAAAAGTGGCAAGAATCAACCAAGCACATAAAATGCTAAGCTTAGCTTCATTTTATTCGAATATAAAAGTAAATCTTTCAATGTTTATATTTGAAAATTTTACATTAGTATTAGTGACTTCAAATTTTAAAATTTAACCGTTAGCCACCCCTGAATAGCTATAATAATGATGATGGAGACTTGAAAATAGAAAAAAATAATGATCGTGTTACATTTTACGTGCTTTCCCAATGTGAGGTCGAATTCAATCTTCTTTATCTTTTTTTCATGTCCAACGACTTGTTGAAATGTCGGAAGACATTTTTTTTCTAATGAATAAGTAGAAAGTTTCATTTTACATCACAAAAAGTGAACACAATTCTTTTAAATTTATGATTTTTGAGGAGGTTTTGTGCTCCCATTGCTTTCTTTGTACAAGACATTCTTCAAACAGACATTCCGCTTAGGTGAGGAAGAAATTTGTCGCACAAAGTATTAAATGACCTGCTGTGTGTCCCACATGATGTCATAAATGAAAGAAAATTATTGAAACCGACAAACAGTGTCATTGTAAAAATTGAATTTTAAGGCTTTATTCATCATACTTTACTAGCGGAGGGGGTGAATAAATTTTTATTATGCAAAATAAAACCGACAATGTTTTTTTTTTGGTGGGAAGCTTCAAGTGAAAATCAATAATGAAAAATGTTAAAAAATAAAATTTTCAGTTTTTTAAAAACGACATTTTTGATGAACCAAAATTGATTTTCATATTTTTTTGCATTCATTGAATCTGAACATATTTCCACAAAATTGCTCTTGTTAAATTCACCAACATGCTGGTTACGAGTCAGTCGCAAATGAATGTTTTACATTGACAATAAATGTTTTTTTTTTCAATATCGTGATGCAAAAAAAAATGTAATTAAATTTTTACAACATTTGAGCAGTCAACTCATGTGGAATCGACAGATAATTGAATTGATTTTTATGGAAATTATTATTTTTTTCTTTCATATCCCAGTCGATACCCACCCACTTAGAGTTCTCATATATGCACAAATATACACGCATTACGTACGCGGTGAGTAAATTGGATTTACTATATTTAATTTACCGCAATCCCATATACAATATATTTTGTTACAGCACTCGAAAAAAAATGGTAAATCAAGCCAAGCCGCTTCCATTCATCCCTTTTTCGCATTTCATTGATGATGAAAAATTAGAGAAACTTAAGAAGGAATAAAAACTTTTGTAATTGGGTCAAATTGTATCTAATTACATAGAAAAATAAAGTTTTTGTCCTGCCGCTCGCTCTTTTTCCAATATCAAGAGTCTTAAATTTCAATTAAGAACATTCTTCTTCTATTTTCTGGTCTACGACCTTTTGTAAGAATGTTCTTACATTTTTATTAAAAGTTTTCGATCAAGTCAAGCGAAAATGCATTTGGTGTTTTAATCCTTTGAAATTTATGGGTAAGATTTTGATAGAAACATTTAGAGTTATGAAGGGGATTGAAATTAGGTCAAATGAAATGTTTTCTAAACTGAGATCTTAAAATAAACTTAATGTTTGCTATTAAATAGACAAAACTGTAAAAAAAATTGAATTTTGAAGAAAATTTTCGCGCCACTTTTTTTCCCCACTTGAAATTTTTAATTGCAAATTTTAAGTTAAGTTGAAGCCTATATAGACTTTGTTTTGTTCAAATTAATTGTAAAAGATGGCAAAAAGCTGTTGATTAAATAAAAATCTTGGGATTAAGAGTTTTAAATGACATATAAAATTCTTTCGTTTACGTTTTTTGCTTACAAATATTTCCAAGTTTGATGAAAAACTGTATAAAATCCAAATTGAAGTCAATCTAATAGTTCTGTTGAATATTTTCTAACTCAAAGTATTCTATCAATCGACTCATTATCCCTTCTTATTAAATTAATTGATGTTCCAAACTAAATATTGAATTTCAAAGTTTGTAGAAGAACTTCTTTATTTGCTCATCAAACTAAATTGGATATAGAATATCAAGTTTAATTGAGAAATTACAAACTCATGTAAGAAGTAATCAATAAATGGAAATTATTTTAATTGAATTCAATTATCAAAGAAATTAATTTCAAAGGAATTAATAATCGAGCAACTTCTCATCCTGCTAGCTAAATTATAGAGTTTTTAAGGACTGATAATCATTTATCTAATTTTACATTTAATTAAGAGAGTTTTAAATGGAAAAATGAGGAAATTATTTTTATATTAACGCAACACGCCAAGGTAATTTACCTCCTTAGTCTCTTTTATTTACTTCAATAAGCATCAATTAAATGTTGAGGGATGTTGTTTGGTATGAATAGAATCTCTGTTAATTGAAAGCATTAATTAAGTAAATGGAATTGCCTGAATCTTCATTTAATGTCGTTTCATCTGATAAGACTTTGTTCTCCATCTACATTCATTGATGTATCCATCTATTCATCCACAAAGGATGGCAAGAAAATTAATTAGCAAATGGATTTATTTTTCTCTTTTTGTCTGCGTCCTCTTGATGCTCTTGCTGAATAGATGAAAACTAATAATTTTATATGAATGAATCATATTTGAAGCTGTGACTCGCATGGGAAAGGAAAACCACAGAGTTAAGGAATTATTGTAATGAGAATATAAAAAGGGACAATCAAGGCACACAAAAACATTGTAATTGCCATTTACAAGACTTTTTTCGGCTTCCATAACAATAAGAATGGAGAGGAATTAAAGAATTATTATTATTTATGTCTCTGCTGAACCTTACGCACCCTTTTGAAGATCTTAGCTATAATTACAACTGGGAACTTGTAAGATGATATAAAATTTAATCTTATGTTTTATGATCTTCTTATTAAATTTTTTTTGAGTCCATAAAATTTATATACAGTCAGTTTTTTGAATGTTTTCTTTCCTTAGCAATAATTCATAATTTTTTGTTCGTTGCTTTTTCTTTTTTAAATGAAATTACTATAAATAAAATAGATTTAAATTGAGAATCGGGTATGGAGAGATTTTGAGCGCATTTGAAGTTACTAGGAGCTGGTTTCTAGGATTAATGCTAGCGTTTATACTTGGATTAACTCTGGAGAATGCCAAATAGCTTCTAAAAACTTTTTTGAACCTCAAATGGAAAGAACAGAACTTAAATTTGAGAACTAAGATTGATCATTGGGTGTCCTTGCCCAAATCCATCGTTTGATCACCTTTAGGATTGATTTAAGTGTTAATTGAGCGCATCTCTAAAAAGCACTAGGATCAAAGAGTTCTTTATAAAGTTAATAAAAGTTTGCATCTTATATCAGTTAAAGTGCTGATTTCAAGACTTTCAACTACATGTTAGCAACATAATCGATTAGACAGCTGCAAGATCCAAGATTCAATACAAAAATCATCAGATAACAGCCTTCAACGCATCGAACAAACCCCCGTCAAAATCAAAAACTTGACTCATCATCACTAAGCAGTCCTTGAGTCAAAATAGACAGTTTGATGCACAAGCTGCATCCACTCATAGATAAAACAGTTCAGATGCAAGAAAACAAAGAAAGAAAGCATAGTCAATAATTTTTTTATGATAGATATTATTGAGGATGAGTAATGGTGTAGAAAGAGAGAATAATCTATGCTAGGGTGCTCTAGGCAACAACAGAAGACTGTCATTAAATATCTAAGGATTAGAAACTATAATTATAGTGCATGTAAGTATAAAAGGGATTGAAATTGAGCCACTTTGATTATTCTTTGTTGATATTGATACAAGGCTTTGTCTATTAATTTATTCCATAGCTGCATTCCCTTGCCACAATAGCAAACTACATAAAGTAAATAATTTTGACTTTTTAATGCTTTTACAATCATTTTTTATATTTTTTGTTGCGATGATGACTTTTCTCTTTCTCAACCAGCAACGGATCCCGCCCAAAATTTTTATTTTATTTATCTCTTGCCACATCTCCTCAATGAGATATATACAAACATAAAGTCCCCTTTAAAATATGAAAAAATTATTATTAATCATAAAAAAAGAAAAGATTTAATTTTTTTTTCTCACAGAATTTTTAAATAGACGATGTTTGAGGCTGTGGAAATTACAATTATGGATAAAACTTTTTGGCCTTTAGGAAAAATTATTAAGGGATTGTTTGGATGTTGTGTGATGGTGCTTTATAGGGGGAGTCTGGTGGTGCAATTGAGTGTAAGTTTTCTGCTTTGCCTCATTTTTAATGTTGTGACATTATTTGCAGCGCAATGAAGAAATCCGCATCTTTTAATATTACTCATTTATATCCAACCCCACTTTTTAGAACAAAAAAACATTATAATGAAAAATCAGACAAATTTCCCCACAAGACACTTCCATTGTCTGACAAAATAATATTGCCCATTTCAGAAAATTGAAGAGCTCATCACAATAGCAACATTCTAATGGGATAATTAATTTTTCCCTCTCTTTCAATCATTAATTTCATTTCATTTTAACTTTTTTTTATTTCTCGAGAGCAGCAGCAAATTTGATTATTGCCATGTCGAGTGGAAAAAAATTTTATTAAATTTTTTTGTTAAGGCAAATTTGTTTTGTCTGACGTTGCGAAAAAAATTTTCTGTTGAGCTCCCAAGATAATCGTTTACTAAGGGTATATTAATAAAAGAGGATCTTAAGGAGCTTAATCATCATCGTCTTTATCATTTTAAGCTCACAGTTTAAAAAGGATACAAAGTAATAATAATAAAAGAATTGAAATTGTTTTTATTTCATTAAAAATTTGTTCATTCTTTATGTTAATCCTCTGTCAGTTGTGAAACTTTCTCTTTTCTTTATAGCTTGAAATTGTTTTGGGGAAATTTCGTTTATGTCTGTCTGTCCGAAAAAGATTTAAATTGACATTAAAAAACTTATTTATCAGTTATTTTAAAATTTGAAATTTTTTGGGGTTTATAAAATTCTTGACCGTTTTTATTCAAATATTTTGTAACCGTTATTTTTTATTTTGTTCTTTTGACATCTCTTTGAAAGATATCTTATTTTTGCAGACGTAGCAGGCACAGAAGGAATAAAAAATGATGAAGGATTTGCACTACGCATTTTACAAATTGAAACGCACCATGAACAATAATCGAAGCATACATCTTGAAGCATGTCTACCACCAAGGAGATGAGATAATGTTTTCTATTTTTTTATGGTTCTCGATATCACTTTAAAAGAATTTGTTTCGTCCGTTCCAACACATTAAGAGCGTGAAAAATATCTCACAATAAAAGATTTCATGATGTTTGACATTCATCAACCTAACCTTCGGACCTTTTTCTGTTCTGTGTATCTATTTCTTAAGAATCTTATTACCTGTGTGTGTCCTTTTTGTCTGTTAAAAATATCCTCGTTAAAATCATTTCCATCTTCTACTTATTTCTTGGAGAAAAAAAAAACATAAAAGATTCTATTTTCTCGACTTTTTTGTTATGTATGGCAAGGAATAATTGTCAATACATTATGAATTTATGGCATGAACAATATTTCTTATTTTTGGGTCCCATTCCAACCTTTTTTTCTCAGTTTCGTCTTGCACCCTCAAAAAATAAATGAGAGAACACAGAAAATGAGATAAGCTGACATACACAATGGAAACCACTCGACATTGTTTCGATAATGTTTCTTTTTTGAAAGGAGAAAGAGAATTATATTGCAAAATAATGAAATCCTTGAAAATCTAATTAAATTTCATAAAGAAGCAGCTCTACCTGGTTTTCTCTTTTGCATGCAGGTAGGGGTTGTGAAGAGTTTTGTGCGAAAATACAGATGGTCCCTTTCCCTTGATGCTTTGCAATATTTTTATCTCACAAATAAAAATATTGACAAGTCATTTTATAGTAAATTGAATTATTTTATGGAGTGGATGAAGTTGCAAGATTTTGATTACTTTTGACACGGGTTTTGTGAAAATAATATGTATTAACGGTCATTTTAAATTTGAATTATCGTAACGTGCAACTGTTATTAGTTGTTGCAATTTTTAAGTAATCAACCGCTTAAACATTGCAATTTTGCAATCTTAACATCAGGCTGTAATATCGGAACACAGCATATTCTTAAAAAAAGACAATTTTGAGTAAAATCAATAATTTCGAAGAATTTTAAACAAACTAATTGAAAAGCTAAAAGATGTCAAAAGTCTTTAAGGATCTATCAAATTTCAACCAGCATCATCTCATATTTTCTCAACTTCAAAAGCCGAAAATAAATGTGACGAATATTAAAAGTGCATTTTCATAGAAATTTTCTCCTTTATTCTGCAAAATTCAAAAGAAATTTTGAACAAATAAAAGGACAAGATGAATAATCGTTAATTTATGGAGTGTCCTCTTTGCTTGTTCTGCTGGAGATTCCCTTTTGTTGTTTATTTTTCTCTTGAAGGCATTTTAATAATAATTTTTTTCTCTCCCATTTTTTGGCATCTTTTAATGATCATCGGAATGGAACGGAATGCTCTATTGTGTACTGACTAACGAGAATCAGATGTATTTCAAAAGAAGGACATGTACTCAAAAAAGGACTTGAATTTGAAAAAAATAAAAGAAGAAAGAATGTTTCAAAAATGTGAGGCAGCTGAATTTTATACTCTTTTTTTTTAACTTTTGATGATGTTTTGTTTATTTAACAATAGAATTTCTATTCAATTCAAACCATATTCAACTCAAATTTATAACAAAAAAGTTGTCAAACGTTGACAATCAAAAATTGTGAAAAGTTTCTTCATTAACTCGCATTTCATTTGCCATTATTGACTGCAAAAATCCATAAACTTAATCAATCCTACCTAGAAGTTCATTTAAAATTAATAATCCAAGGGTACACAAAACATTTGTTTGGAATGTGTGAAGAAATGTCATTCAAAAATCATCACAAAGGCAAAAAGTCTTCTTTATTTTGCACATTTTCATGACTGTTGATGATATTCTCAGTTTGCTACAACACCCATGGCATATACCCTTTCTATGCTATGAATGTAATCCTTTTAAGATTGCTCACTTATTGAGCATCCGACAAATGATAATCTCGCATGAGGGATTTGTGAGAATGTGAAAAACAAAGCAGAAGAAGGCAAGAACGATACAATACAGAAAACATATTCAGATAAAAGGATTACAGATGAGATGGAAATATAATCATAATGGTAATCCTGTATCTCTTGCTGTCATTTTCAAGGAAATGTTTATAAATATATTTGTGAGTTCCTCATTGGAAATGAAAAAAAGATTGCATGTAGTAATCAACATGAATCATGACAAATGTAATCTCCCACTGGGCTCCATTCTCAGCTTGAATGACGTCTTCCTTTACCCAATGAGTCTTCTAAATTTTCTTATAAAATTTATATTTATTATAAATTCATGCATTCTAATGCAGGATAATGTCGGAGATATGGTAACATGTTGTTGTCAAGAAGCTGGTATGACAAGAGGATTACCAATGTTTCTTCCTTAACATTTTCATTTTCTTTCTAATTTCTCATTTGAATGAACAAATAAATATTGAATTAGGGGCTTACTTTTGCTACCTAACAATGCAGCATCATCAAACTTTCATGGGAGCATATTCGAAAATTCACATGTCAATCTATATTCACCACGGAACCCCTATAAACATGCTCAACATCAGGAAAATAATACGTAATCTATTAAAATTCTAATGCCATGATGATTCAATTTGGATTGCATTCCTTCCACCGCATGTGTGTATATACACAATTTGAAATTGATTGACATACCACAAACAATGCCAGTGGTTCCATTATTTTTTTTTTTTTTTTTTTTGGTGCACACACAACTTCTATCTTACTACTTATTTCAATCACGAATATTATTTTTGCGTCATAAACAGACGAAACTTTTTTAATGTTACATACATTGTATGTACGAAAATCAGATAAATACTATGAAAATCCACTAGAGTACGAAACATGAAATGTGATATTGTATAAAGCAAGTATAAAGTAAACAATGAACATGGATTTGCAATTTTCCAACCACCGTCAGCTTAGTTATTCATGTAGAAAAGTTTTTCCATTCTTCCCCTCCATCTCTTAATTTCTCCCATGATGTCTTTATCTTTCCAGCGAAAAGAACAACAACAATAACTTTCTAAAAAAAATAATTATTTGCATATTGAGTTCCATACTTGTGTGTTTAAGTCACGGAGATGTTTGTTTGGGAAAGGAAATTTTCACTGAATAATTTAATCCCGCAAGTAAATGTTTGTCATAAAAATTTTATGCATTAATATGATAATTATTATCATGGTGATTAAAATTCTTTATAGCTGTGCTGTGTTTAGATGTGGAAAAAAAACATGGGAAATGTTTGTTTTAGTTGAAATAGGAATTTGATTTTTATTTGGTGCTTGGGAATAAGTTAAGGATTTTGCTGTTGGGTAGCTTTAACGACCAGTCAGAATATAAAATTAATTAATTTGGAGCAATTATTTTGTAATAAAAATTCAACGGTTGTTCAAAATTTGAAATTGAAGTAAGTAGTTTCTTAATTTTTCCCCTGCGTGCTGATTATAATAGTGCTTTTATTTATTGAATTATTTTAAGGGGTCGTTCACTTGTGACGTCCGAAATTAACGGTCATTTTTCAAAAAAGAACAATAGATTTCCTGGAATTTCTATTGTTCTTTTCTTGCTGACCCCCCCCCCCCCCCTCCCCCCTGGACGTCATAAGTGAACAGCCCCTTAGCTACATTTGGAAATATATTTAACACCAACCTTCAAGGTTTTAATTTAAATACCGTTTGATTAATAAGATTGTGAATAAAAGATTTAATTGAATGCGTGCAGGAAGTTCAACGTTTTGAAACGTTTTGAAATTCATTAAAATTAAGATTATCAGCACCAAAAATAGACTTAGCAACGCAATTAAGTAAATACAGACATGCAAACATATAATAAAGTATCTAACCTAACCTCAAGATTTAAAATTTATTCAGGAAACGTAAATTTTTATTCATTTTAGTTCGAATGATCAAGTAAAGTATCAAAACACATCATCCAGGACAAAAACCTTCATAATCCACAATCAAAATCTCAAGGATCTACAATTGACCTAAAAACTTGATGAATTTTTCCACAAATTCAAATATTTGCTCAAATTTTCATTAAATTTTTATGCTGACAAGCTTTCTATTTCAAAAAATTCCTCATTTTCCGTCAGCATCCTTCAATAATGCTCATCAAAATTCTCTTATTCAGTATAATATAATAATTTTAATAACTCAATTATAATAATGATCAGTAGGTACGATAATTATATTTGTTTATCTCAAAACAGAACTGACTATCGCGATAATAAATTGCATAACAAAAAATAATAAAATTTAATGAATAATTCCCTCAATAATTAAATATATCGATGACGATACCATCGGTACGGATGAAAAACAATGAGAATGGGATAAACACACTAATTGTTATGTTAATTGAATTGAATTTCAATTAGGTTGGAAAGAAAAGAGCGCTATTGTTGCTGATGATGAGCTCACTAATAGTTTGTTGATTTCATTATTGAGTTCATAGCTAATTTCATTAAAATTTCATCAACATCCCTTCTGCCTGCCAAGCATGTATACGAAAAATCTCTTCAGAGGATATAACATGGGGAAATAAAGTTTGAATGACATTGCAGGATAAAAAAAAAGTAACATAGAAAATTCATTAAACAATTATAATCAAATTAAAGGCAGAGAAGCTGAGTCAGTCAAGCATCAAGGAAGTATCCTCGTGGAATGTCAAGGAAATAATTATAATTGAAAGCAGGAGATTGGAAGGATATTCAAATATTGACATTAACGAAACGTTGAAAATCCATTAAATTGAGGGCAATGGCTGTAAGTGGGGAAGCTAATAACTGCTGCTATTTTGGAATTCCATTAAATTATTATACTGCAACATACAATATCGTCGCTCAATGCACATTTTGTGGAACGAATGGATATGAAAAAAAATTTGTTCAATTTTTTATGAATTTCCACCACACTATGTGTGTGCTATTGCCATATAGGAATGAATGGATGGAAAAAATATGTCACAAAAAAAAATTTCACATTATTATTATTGTTATTATTTCCCCATTGCAAGTGAAGCTGTAAAAATCACTAAGTGGTTCTTAAGTGCTTTTCCACTTGGTATTTTCTCATTCATTCTACTGTTGCTGGAATTGATACTCATGAGATAGATAGAGTTGCTGCTCTGTCTCTAAAATTTTTATATATGGATCTACTGTCGTACATCAAAGAGCAAACTCAATGATAATGGGTAAATTGTAGCTATTCCTTGCGTTATATGAAAAGTAATAAGGCCATTCACAATAACATTTCTATTTAAATTCTTTTTTAATTGAAAGACTTCAAGTGCCTCTCTTGTTGTTTTTTTTTTCGTTCTGTGAGGCACTCGGCAATATGTCGCACAAAGTATGCAACCAAGCATGTATCTGGGAATGAAGTGGTTAGTAAAATTTTTGTGGCGCATTTCTTTGATGATGGATTTAAAGTATTTAAGAGCTGCCAGTGTCTCCATTTAAGAGTAAAAATATGAAAGAAGCTTCCCACGTCACAGTTAATTGAAGGCTCAATCTTTAAGCTCGTCAAAACCCACCCAGCATCTTCATTACATTTCACACCAACGACACTAATGATAAGGTTCAAAAATTTGACAAAGATTGATGACTCATTAATCGATTCTCGCAGAAATTCAGCAACCATCCAAATTGCTCTAAAGCCATTACATCACATTACAAAAAAAATTGCTCACTAAAAAGCCACTTAATTACACTCAACGATTCCCTTTCACTGAATTGTTTTCTTCCTCTCCACTTGAACGAAGAAAATTAAGTCATAAAAAATAATTTGATTGAACCATTGGAAGTGCTCACTGTGAGTCAATTGAATTTCACAGCTCAACGATCGTTTGTCGCTGTTGCGAGGAACTTTAAAACAGAAGAAATGACGGAAGGGGTTTGTTCGTAAATGATGTTTCAAACACCTTCCTGTCGATCTTGATATTTTGTGTATGAAAATTCAGTGACATATGGTTGAGAGGTCGGAAAATCCTCATTCCAAAAGACGTAATATGTGAACGATCCCCAATGAGAATGAGAAGTTCCCCCTTTGATGATGAAACAGCAATAATGTAACTTAAAAAATGAACATAAGAACATTTTCTCGAGTTATCAAATTACTTTCATAATGCTTTGTCGCTTCTTTCCCAAAAAAAATTGTTAAAATGAAACACATTAAAGGAATTCATTCATTTATGGTTTTAATTCCATGTATGTCGAATATGATAGAAAACATATGTTGTGCATAACAAAAATGAATTTTTTAATTTTTCTACCCAATTAATTTTGATTTATGAAAAATGAACACCGAGCATGAAAGGGGAGGCGAAAATAATGTCAGTTATGGCCAGATGAATAGGCTTTTAATTAAAAAAACGCGACCTCAAATATTGTACTTACATTAATAATTTTATGACTAAATGTCAACTAATGCCTGCAATTGGGGCGTGGAGACTTAAAATGATTTTTTTTTCTCAGAAATTTTTGATGACTTTTTTCTTCGTCGAAGTATTTTTTGAGATTTATTATACAGAAAATAGTGAAATTCAAGGAATCAAGAGGCTCAATTGCAGTAGCCTATGCTGCATTCTAATGAAGATTATATCAAGAATCATAAATTTAATATTTCAAGTCCTCGAATAAATTATTTTATCTACTTCCTAAAGATCTTTCTCAAACAGTTTTTTTTATGTTTGAGATGCAGAAGGAATGAGAATTTAAATCCAACAAAAATTCTCAAGTGTCATTCAAGATTATGCTCCTTCAACATTGAAAAAAAAAGAAGTATAATTCATTATGCTTCAAATAATTCTTTCATTTTCTTTCATTTAAATATTGACTTTTTAAGAAGGAAGCTCGGAGATTTATGATTAAATTTAGTGGCTATTGTGGCTCGTGATTTGAATTGTTTTATTGAGTTTTGCGAGTGGATTTTTTTGGAAATTTAAGAGGAATTTACTATTCGGTAGGAATCAAGCCTAAAACTGGAGATCTAATTGCTATTCAACTTCTTGGATGAGTCTTAAAGTCAGGGAATTATGCCTTTAAGTTACTGACTATACGAGGTCTTGCTTCAACTTTCCATTAATTGACGAGTTTTTCTTGACTTTCATAAAATAAGTTTTGGATAACGTAATTGATTGTCTTTTAGGAATCGAGCCTGCGACCCCATTAAAACTAGGATTGTAATTTCTATTGCTTAACCAATCAGGCACAATGACATTTATATCACAATGACAAGACTACCTAGACATACTACCACTCTCCATCAAACCCAATAAAACTCCCGCAAACACGAGAACCTCTAGTCTTTTTAATAAAGAAGTACACACCGAGTAAAAACGAGAAGCAAACTTCATTAATGATTAAATCCCCAACTTCATTCATCTTTCAAGTGCTTCTCATATTTTTAATATTTTTTTTTTATTTCATCTCTCATTTCAATAGGAAATGAATAATGTGGCAGTTGCATTGTCAACCCAATCATCCATAAGAAGATTATGGAAATAGAATAAAGAGAAAAAAAAATTAAAATATTTCTTACCTTAAGATTCTTTCCCAATTGAAAGCATGAATTATAATCCTCATCATCAATGACTTTTTCATCCTTGACATTTTCATTAGCTAGCTTCTCGTAGCTCCATAATCTTTGGAAACGATTCATCTTTTAAGTTTTGATGAATAAAATATTATCAAATGATAAGCACGAACAGATTCACTTAAGGAAGACTTCCTTATTTTTTATTCTGAAGTAATAATTAACTTTTAATTATAACTCGAGGACTTAAACACTTCATAAAATATATAAGGCTCAACACTATTCATTAATTTCTAATAATCACACAAATGTTTTCTGCGATAAGAATCTTTTTTGACTTATAAATAAACTTTTTTTTCTTTTATATAATATTGAGGTGATGCTCATTAGACACACGGCTAAGAATTTAATCAGAAGTGAGAAATCAAATAATTTTTATGTTGGATCCCTTGGAGGCTTTTTCTGATGATAAACAAAATTATTCTTAGATTTTATCACTTCACGTCTGAACCACTTGTTAAGCTTTACACGACTAAAAATGATCCTTTGCCTTTACAATAACAAAAACACACGATGTCCTTTTCGATCTTTTCTTTCTATGCAATGCACATGAAAATAATATTATAGCTGCATACAGCAACGACCCTTCTCGGTTGATGTTTAATAATGAACTGAGTGAGTAGTTCTTTAAACAATTTTTTCAGCCTCTTCTTTTTTTATGCTTTCTTTCTTCATTCGCATGTTTATAATACACAACCAGACCCTTCTTTTGAGACGATGATGAGTAAACGAGTAAATCTCTCGTACCTTAGGCATATACATGCTACATTATTACATATAAAGATAAATGTGTGGAGATATAATGCAACTTTAACACATGTTTAAGAATATTTAGATTGATGAGTGTTTCGAGTTGCCTGATTAAATGTATTTTTTTTTCTTAGTCGGGAAAATACGGCTGTGACTAATGATCCAGATCATTCAATTGTTACTTCTTTTTATTTATTCATTTGTTATCCATTAATGTGAATGGCTGTGATAAAGTCTTAACATAAATTAAATGAATTCACGGAATAATAAATTTAAAGGATGCCTTTTTGGGTCCTTTTTGCTGTAATTTATGGGGGATTTGGAAGTTGGATCTTGCCATTTTATTATTGGCAATTTATTTATTTTTGGAATTGACACTCTCATGAATATTTTGGAGCTACTTATTCATGTAAATTAATGTACGATATGTGAATTAAAATGTGAAATAAATTCAATTACGATGATTTGAAGGATATCCATAGACCTTTTTGGATATGAAAGACGCTGGTGATTTATTCTTTGTGAATTTTAAATTCTATAAGGAATCTAATTTGAGTATTAATGACCCGATAATATTGTACTTAAGGAAAATTCTTAATAGATTTTGTAGAAGTATTGGAGGTTATGAGGTTGAATTGAGAATTGGTTCAAAGTTTGAACTGCCTGGATATTGCGTGATTATGGTTTATGGACTATGTTGTTGTTATTTGGTTATGATTCTGTTTAACCATTGTCTACTATCAGTTTCCGTCATGAGGAAGTGGATGAGCAGCTTAGGCATTCAATTCAAGACTATCTGAAAAGAGTACTTGATGTTATCCGATTTTCTAGTTTCAATTGATTCCAAAGGTCTTGGTCTTTCTGCCACAGAATCTAAAATCTAAATTGATACTCTGTGACACCTCCATCACTCACACTTCCATCACAACTTTTTTTAAATAATCTCCAAACAAATTTCATTCTCACTTATCCCTTATCTCTTAAATTAGATCCACCTAATGACTCATTCATCCAGCTAGGTGATGAAAAAACTTTCATCATATTTCCACCAACACTTTCAGTTATCATCATCATTATCAACAGCTTTAATACAGTCATGTAACCTTTATCAAAAATTAACAAAAAAAAAAACACTCCACACATGATCCTGCCTACCTTCATGCTTAATATACATACACGGACGTGTATTGAGAAAAGATAGATGGACACAAAAAGGTGCTCAAATTCAGAGACATTTATTTCTTTATCTATTCATTGCATGAAAACGAGGAACAACATTAACCCTCATCATTTTATTGTGTATAGTAATGTTCACATTATCTGTATGTACATCCTTCAATTCCTCATGTTCCTTTGTTTTAACATTTACGTATGAAAAATTATCCTTCTTAAAAAATAACAGTTCCTATAGAATCTAAGGGAGTCGAGATTGTATGAGACTTGATGCGCATTTTGGATCCACAAAGGATATGATGGAAAGTTGAATTTAAAATAATAACGGTAAAAAATTATTTGAAAATTAACGGCAAGTGAAATTTGAATAATAAAAGACTGTTATTTTTTTTTTAAAAAAACCAATAATCGTACGAACAGCCAAACAGACAAAGTAAGTTCAATGTCGTCACATCCATTCATGACAAAGAGCTAAAAAGTGAGTTACATGTTGAGTATAAGAACTAAGGAAAGAAAATCGAATGAATAGCTAAGGACCTTTTCTTAACAGGCCATGACAAGGCAATTTATTGCATTGATGAGGATCTCGCTCGTGTGTACTTGCCAAAAAAAGTCAATAATCATTTTTTATGGCATCTCATAGTGAGAAGAATCATAAAATTTTATTACACATTATAGATGGATGTGAAATGAATGACACAAATTACATGCAGACGTGGAGTTCATTAGAAACTTTAAGGTTCGTCATACCTTATTTTTCACTGGAAGTAAATGAAATGTCATTCATCCTTAGTTGCAGTTTTTTGTTTATTTTCAGCATTCATCATCCGTTTAAATTCAGCCTCAAGGACATTTCACTCAATCTCTCTAGTTCTATAGAAATGACTTCAATATCTCCTTGATGCTACTAAACTAAAAAGCAAGGCAGAGAAGAAAATTGCATTTTTATTTTCCTGATAAAAAAAATGATAATGACGACAGCATGTCGAAAGACGAAACACAAAAAACATCAAAAGGAATAACAAATAAAGGAATTGCCGCATGCATCTGCTGGCTTTATCGTTCCTTAACTGTTTGCTTGCTTTTGTGAATCATCAACAAAGTTATTAAACCATAAAAATAATAAAAGCCAACGCATCCTTGCATATCATTATTTCATTTAGACGTCATAAAATAACATACATTCATACAGCTTTATAGCATGCGACAACCTAAAAAGTCGTGAAGCCGTGACTATGAAAAAAATTCCTTAAAGTGCATCATCGACACACTTTTGGGTGTTGTTTTTGCGATTGATGTATATAATTTGGTATATGTGTACTTATTGAAGGGTCCTTTATTTTGGAATTGTGTTTCAATTTGACACTTGAGATGATTTTTATGTTGGATTGTTACAATAGCAAGTAACACACAGTAGCACAGTATGAGGTAGGAAAAAAATCTATCAAATATCAAAAAAAATGTTCTTTAATTTTTCATGCATGTAGCAGTGTTGTTATTAGGGTGTCTAGATGGGTTAAGCTTACATTTCATAGAGTCATGGAGTCCAATTTGAGAAGCACTGACATAATCTGAACTTTTTTGGAGGATCCAGGACTTTGAAACTTGACAAGATGTGGCCTGTTTGATACCTTAACTGATTTTTGACCAAACGCTTGATCTTATCTGCTCTACTAGCAACTTATCTATGTTATTCAGTTACTGGTTCCTTCCAAAACTCTCTAACATTGATATGGCATCACTGAGCACAATTTTTGCTTGATAGCACCCCACGTTTTCACATAGTACCCTAAAATACATCAAAAAAGTGTAACCTTAGGCATATCTATGAGGAAAAAGATCACTTAAAGCATAAACAATGCTCAATCTTAACAGATTTTCACAAACATCATACAAGATTTCGCATCTGAATCAACAACACTGGTCCTTTACTATTATCGCATAATGCATCAGTTCATTATAAATCGATAATAACTTTCAGAGGGATTTGAACGATGAACATTTGTGTTTATTTTGAAATATGTCACGAATCAGAAGTCTTAGTCGATATCAATTCCCATTTCCAATTTAAATAAACATGTTTGTGGAATTTTCCTGCTATTGAGCATGAACGTCGTCTCCCTTTTTATGAAAATTTAATGAGACACAATTGCTTTGATTAGGAATTTCTTTTCGTTCCTTTTTTTGTTGGTTTCATTTTTTATATGCTTAATGTAATCCATTGACGAAAGATATTTTTATTCTTAATTGCATAAGCCCTAAAATTTACATTAAAATTTCATCAAATAAATGTCATGTCATGTTTTAACATACGGGTAATCCACGCATTTCTATATGCTATGATATAAAGACACAATAATTGAGTAAGGATGGTTGATGGTGGTTGTAGATGTGAGCAGCGCATAATATTAAGTTTATAAGTTGTTGAGGAAACCATGATAAGATTAACCACCAAGCTAGAGTGGTCTTAGAAAATCGAATGAAATCAAGGCGTGGAAACTATCCCAAATATCCCATATATCCCAAAAATATTCAAAATAATCCCTGAGCCTGTATGCATTAGAATTGAGATATCCCATCATTTCCTGAAAAAACACGTGCAATACACTAAGGATACGTACAAATATCTCAGGGATTATTTTGAATATTTTTGGGATAAATGGGATATTTGGGATAGTTTCCACGTCTTAAATGAAATATTTTTTTACAAATTCCGTTTGAATCTTTTGGTTTGCGAAAGGTCTTAAAGGTACATAATTTCTCTATAAGTCGTCAAGTGAAAATAACTATTGCGGGATATTAGCGACAATCGGTCCAAAATGCATCAAAAACTCTCACAATCATCTCCAATTCTGCAGTCATGGGGCGCTTTATTATACCATACAGCATAAATGTGTAAAAAGCCGTAAAAAGAAAAGACGGGATTAAAATTTATGAAAAAAATACCCAAAAAGTGTGTTCGTTTAATTAAAACATGCAATTATTCAACAACCCTTATAATAAATATTATTGAGTGTGGTTGAAGATGATGAATGTTCAAAAAAATATATTTATATGCCGTAGATGAGCCTCATCATTAATTTCTATTAGCGTCGAGCTCTATTCATATTTGAAAATTATAAATTGAAGCGTAAAAGAGAATTTTTTTATGTAAAAAAAATGATAAATGCATCGATTTAATGTAATAATAAAGAGATACATAACCCATTCTCGCTTTCAATACAGCAACAACAACATATCATTAATTCCATGAAAATAGAGAATTGAACAAAAAATATTAATAAATGTCCGCATAATCAAAATTTCTTCGCTTTTCTCTTTTATGCTGTATTTTTGTTGAATTAACCTTCTTGATCCTTTAATATTAGATTCTAATGCTGGAATTTCTTTTTGATTCTAAATCCGTCTAAACAAAAACAGTCGAAGTCGCTGTTGGAAACATTTGTAGATATGTTTGGAGATTCCCAGTCGTTTAATTACGTGTTAATATTGTCAATAGAGTCGGATATCAGTAAAATAGAATCTAAACTATGGAGATTTGTTGTTCCTCAGGTGGTTAAGATCAAAGAATGTCAAGTTTTAATGTAAGTCTCTGTGGAATTATTAATTCATTCTATTTCCTGTATAGCTTTTATGGCAGTTCTATTAAGCCGTGCTTCTACTGAATTGCCAAACTTCAGGTGTTTGATGACACATTGGGTTTGCCTTCAAATAGTTTCTGAAGCACTGATCCGTGAACTTTCAATCCCAAACTTACTTCATTTACACAAAACTAGACATAAACTTAAGTCTACTTAAACATAGTTGATTTTGAATTTAGGTTGAATCGACTTGAAGCTTCTGTGTTCAGAATTTTTTGACATTCCTGAACAGCCAACGAAAACTTTATTTTTAGTTCAATTATGTTTCATTTTCTGCTGTGAGTGATGCAGAATAAATGCAAATAAGACTAATTGTTCTATGAATGTTGTAATCAATATTGTCCAACAATAAACCAGTGTAGTAAGCAAATTGATAGATATTTCATATTCTTAGAAAGACATTTACATCCTTAACTGTTCTGTGTTTACTATTTATTGTAAATGGAATCTACAGATTGACACAAACCTGTCGAAAATACAATCCGATCCAATTCAAATCAACCCATAAGATCCAAGAATCTTTTACGATTTTAGATGAACATCAAATTCAACCATAAAATAAAACTTGAGGGAAATGATCAATCCATTTGAACTGACACATTTATGTTCCTACTTATCAAAATATTGACATGGCTTACAAAAGTGCTTCAAGGAATTCCTCATAATGGCAAAAAGATTAGATTATAGTTTTATTGACAGACATCCAAATGTTATTCTTGTTCCTTATCAAAATATTCTTCTGTTGAATAAACTTTAAGGCAAAGAAAAATGTTTATCTTTCTTAAGCGAATTTTTCTTCGTTCTGAAATTGATCCTACAAAATTTATTTTCCTTTCTGCTCAATTTTGCTGCTAACAAATATAAATTTTACCTCCGTTTCAATTGTTTTCTTAAGAATTTCGTTTTTTTTTTCTATGTTAAGCACTCTCAAATCTTCATCATCATCAGGAAGTTCTGCTCTGCTACTCGAGTACGAATCATTTGCACAAATATTATTCTAGGAAATTTATTTTATCTTTATCGTTTTAACGTGAAATAGAAAATTGAGTTGAAAATTGCGCTCAAAGCTAAATACTTAATTTCCTTTTAGTTTATCTTCGTTTTGTACATATAAGAACCTCTTTAGAAGTTTCGTCAGAATTTTCAATGAGTTGTTGAATTATTCAGGAACGTAGAACTAGACAAGAATTTGGCAACAATAGAAAACTATTTTATTTATTTGAATAAAGTTAAAAAATTTATTTTATGTTATTGAGAATTAATAAAGATAAGATGGAACAACAGATTCTATTGTCGGTCAGAATCAATGTGAATGAACAATTAGTTTAGATGGAATCCTTTTGTATCATTAGTATTTGAGCCAAGCGCCTTAACGATTACTCAACAGAGGCTCTTAACTGCTTATGTTGCTCTTGCAAAATTCTTATTACATCTGAGTATACACGAATGTCTACAATAATGCTCGGCAAGTCATTACGTCCTACAGATCCACGAGACAGCAGTCCCCATAAGATTTTGTTCCCTTTATCATCTATTGTGAATAGCGGCATACCGCTATTTCCTTTTTCAATGACTGTAAATTAACGTAAGCATAATAATATTTTGAATTGAGATATTTTGTGATGAAATTTTACCTCCAGTATCAGCACAAAAACATTTTTCAAAATCAATGGTAATATTTAAAGGCTCATAAATATCTTTGCATTTAGCATTCGAGATTGTTTTAACAATGACTTCATCTGTTTCCATGTTGTGGCTATCAAGTTCTTTCCATATTGTCATTATCATTTCCTTACTTAATTCAGCATTGCGAGAAGGAAGTACAAATGATTGAGTACCGTTCATTGGGATCTTTAAATCAATGAACATAATATCACCAGTTGTATTAAAGTTGGGATCAAAAGTGTAATTGAGATGAGAAGCATCGATCTTTACTGCATCTTCAAAATTATTTTCAAATGTTCCACCTAAGCGTCCTTCATGTCTGTTTTAGGAAAAAGATGATGAAAGATAATTTGATATGTTTCCAAAAAATAAAAATTATTTACGTACAAATATACACCCGGTTCTTGGTCAAAGCCATGCTGATTTGTTGTTATCATACTTCCTGTAATAAGTTTCTAGATAAAATTTGGAATTATTGTAATTAATAATGATTCCATACCATTTAGTACAACTCCCGTTAATCCATAGCCTACATTTTTACCATCACTAAATGAAAATTTAACAAGGAAATCAGGAGTATTATGAATTTCATTTGAATTAAGGTTATCGGCACTAATGATGCTAGGATGTAAAAGTGATGGTCCATAAATAATGTATGCACAAGTACATATTGCAGCACCAAACAAGACTCCACAAAATACTTTTAACATCGCAAAACCGATATTTAACCAATTTCCAGTCAAAAATGTTTTTTGTGAATCTTTACGATCATTGTTATTAGCATCATTAATATTATTAAGTTCCAGGATAACGTCCTTAGACGTATTTTTCGGCTTATTTTCTTCACTAATTTGGGGATTCATAATTTTCTGCTATTGTTACTTCACTGAATTTAAAAAAATTGTCTCAAATCAATTTTCCGAGAGATTAATTCATGTAAAATTACGTTTCCACTGTTCCAGTAACATTTATCATTTGATTGCACTATTTCTCAATTGTTAAATCTAGCTAAATGTTGAAATATTTTAATTTTTTTCCTTAAAAAAAGATTTTTTGAATTCTCATATTTCAAAGATGCGAAATGAAAAATAAAACACTACAACAGTTTCACTCAAAAGTCACTCAACAGTTCAAGTTCAATAAAAAATAATTGAATTTGAAAATTCCAGTATTTTTACACACAAAAAAAAAATCTGAAACAAATTTTATGTCGATAAAAAACAAAAACATTTTTTTTTTCATTCAATTTTCGTATTTATTTGTTTAATTAAATCATTTCTATCTGAATCGTGTTTTCGATTAATAGCTTATGAAGAGGTTAAAACTTTTCTACGCGAATTTATTATTTATTTTATTGAAAAAATAGCTAATTAAGAAATTTTTCATATTTCTTTGATCGTGTCCTTATTTTGACTGTCTTTAAATAATAAATCATAAAATAAATTATGCGATACTGAAATAATTTTTTTTAACTACAAAAAAAAGAAGCACAAACTTGCGATTTTTCACATCAATAAAGATAAAAATATAAAATCTATCTCAAACAGAGAAATTTACACAGAAAAGCTCAATGACTGAATTTAATTCTCACAGAGTTTTCTGCTCCACTTTACGATTTCTTAATTCAACAAAAAATTGATATTTAAATTAAAGTATAAGCAACTATCAGGAAAAACCCTTTCGTCTTCAAATATAAACATACATATAGGTAATGAGTTATGGATAAAAATCAAGAATAGGAACGAACAAGTTAAAAATATGATTGGAGTATAGCTGACTTGAATCAAATGTTGACTTTTGTAAGTAGATTAAATAACGTTTACAAAAGAAGTGAGGACGGGGGGAAGGGGGTCCTAGAAAATAAAAATTTTTCAATTTAAATTAAAAACTTCTCTTAATCAATCCTATATAAATAAATAATGAATCCACCCCTTAACTAAGGATGACAGAGCCCCTTTTTGAAAAACATATCTAGCTAGGACGACTCTGTTAAGTAGCATCATTTAAGAGCTGTGGGTAATGTTAAAGAAGATCTGATCTTAAGTGAACTTATCCATGTCAATCTGTTTGTACCAAAGTAAACCATTATCCAACATTACTTTCATCTAGTCCACCTCTTGATAAAAAAAAAACAGAATTCAAAATTATTTATGATACAGATAATTACGATTATGCATATTTTTGTTTTTAGAAAATATAGTTCCGCTTCTCACAAAACATGTAAATTGTGATGCGTTAATCAACTTTATGGGTCATTTGTTTCCGTCCAAAATAAAAATAGAAGCAAGAAAAAATATTGTACAAAAAAAGCAAAACTTATGCTAAATATTGTTATTGCATAAACATTCTTTATCTTCTCGCATCACTTCGTCTTCGTCTTTCCATCACAAATTCATTGATGATGAAAAAGGCACATGAAAATTATTTTTTGATAGCTCACTTGTTGGATGTTCACTCGTCGTATTTTTACACGCTGAAAAATCTTTCTCCTTTTATTTTTTTTTTGTAAATTTTAGCTTGATACGAAACATAAATAAAGCACATGATGATAATGATGATTAAAAATTCCAAAAAAAAGGATTGATGTTTGCTTGCACGCTTCGTTAAATCATTGGAATGTACATATTATAATGTTGTAATTTTTAATATATTAAAAAAGTTTGATGTTGCTCTTTATAATTGTTGTTCTTATTTTTTTTTTTTATTTGATTATGGTCAACATCCGCAATAGAATAGTTATTGTTGATGGCTTGATAGATTAAAATTGAAAATATATTTTCATCATATCTTTCAGAATTGTGTGGCTAATCAACTCCGGCGAATCCTTGTGATCCTTCAATTGCTTTAATAAGTTTCTCCTTTAATTGTAAGTAGCTTTCGTATGGTGGGAGATCGAGCCTGTTAAAGCTGTGAATGGTTTGAAAAAATTGAAATTTAAAATTTTACGGATTTTTGATTTTTAAACGATTTTAGGATTTTAAATTTCAACAAATTTTTTAAAATTTGAATTTCAACGAAATTTTAGATTTTAAATTTCAACGAATTTTTTAATCTCAATAACAGCAGTTAGCATCAAATATATTCATAATTCTTTCAACCTTCAATCACTAATTAGAACAATCTTCTAAGAAATTTGAAAATTCACTACGATACTCAAAATGCGGTCAAGATCAATCCAATCGACATTGGCTATCATAGTTGTAACACTCCATCATCACTAAATAGAGCAAGAGCATATAAATTATAAGTAGCTTCTCCCAAAAGTGAAATTAATCATCACAAAAATCAAATAAGCAACATGATGCAAACCCTAGTCAAACACATGTTTTTAAACAAATTCCTCTCTACATGAAATCAAGTAACGAGGACATTCAACTATTCGAAGCATAATAAATAAATCAACAGAAAATTTTTATGTAGTTTTTTGAGGAAATCAATCAAAAGAAAAATAACAAGAATCAATAGACGAGTTAATCACATACAGTGACTGACTTTAAACTGTGTAGTGTGAGAACTTCATAGTGGGGGAGTTATTGCTCTTTAGTATTTTAGCTACATTCAAAGAGTTCAGACGTCTTTTAAGCGCTGATTGTGAATGAAATAAATTGTGTCTGATTAAAAGCAATTAAGTGCATTGCGAAATGGACCGAACAAGTCGGGAAAATGTCATCAAAATTAAAGAGTTCCTCGAAGGTATGAAAAAACTATACTTTTTGTTTTGCATGCATGACATCATGTGAAAATATACAGAACGTAATAAAAGTATGTCTGTGAATGACTAATAGTTCCAATTTAATTTAATTAATTGATGCAGATATCTACATGTATTTGAATAACAACATAAAGTCACACAATTCGGACGATGAGCAACAGAAACAGCATCAAGAAGAAGAAGAAGACGAACGTCAAAGGCATGAAACGAAACGAAGAGAGCTAATTGAAAACTGTAAACACATACGGACTATATTTGAGAATGACTTTTTTCATCCCCACGATGTTGACTCAACAATTTCGTATTTAGACATGAATGGTTCTGCTAAAAACCGAATTAAGAGCAGCATTTCCGATGAAAACGAAATTGGTATGTATGTATGGCTATAAGCAATACTAATTACTGGGTTCGTTCGCTTATGACGTCTAGTTTTAATTTGGGAGGGGTCTTAGACATAAATACACACTTAGTGCCAAAACTAGAGCTAAAACTTAATTTTTAAGCAGACTTAACTTACGAACAGCCTGAAAACTAATTAAAAATTCAAACTTTATGGCACTGCCTTCTTTCAGAATCATCAAAAGAGGAATATGTCGATATGAGCCACAGAAAGTCGTCAAACAGTCGAGTATCCGAAAATCCATACAATATTTATGAAGCAGCAATAAGTTTAAGTAATCAAGATTCAGAGAAATGTCCATTTACGGGATTACCAGCAGTGCATTTAAAGCTAATGTGCTCACCCCTCGCAGGTCTATTAACGAGAATCGAAAGAAAACTCTTTTTTGGACAGTCAAAGGATTTCTATGCTGGAATTTTAGATAAATGGATTTTATTATATCCCAGTAAATCCAATGATATGGCACCATCCGAATATTTCTATCCAAAACGTCTCGTAAATGTTAAAGGCGAGAATCAATTTATTATAGTCACTAACAATGATAAACGATATCATTTCCAAGCACCTAATAGTCATGAGTACAGTGAATGGATTGAAAATATCAATAAAATTCTTGAAGACAGTCATAGTGGAAGGGCGAGGGAGTCACAAATAATACCACAATTGTTATCAACAAGAAAGCTCCCATTGCCGCCACCTCCAACAAAAGAAGACGATAAGAAAGAGAACAATGATGATATTGAAAATTATTATTCATTCAGTGGAGCTTCACAAAGTATTAATAGCAATGAGGAAAGGCTTTATGAAGAGCCATGTTCAACGTCAATCGAAGACAATGAATCACCGCCAAAATTGCCAAGGAAAATAGGCAAGAAAATTATTGAGGAAGATGAGGTCGACCACGAGTATGACACGCCAAAGTCAACAAAATCATTTGACGAGACAAAGGATGTTAAAGACGTTGAGAACGTGCCTCCACAACATAATGACACTTCACCAAATATTCCACGTGTTAAAGTCAGTGAAATGACTGCTATATTATCAGGATTCAATTTAGTTTCACCTGAGGAAAAACTCCGATCGAGCAACATGATAAGAAATCGAAAAGCTTTAAGTATTGAGCCGACTGATGTTATTGAGAGCCATAAAAGAAAATCTCCAGTTAAAAAATGGTTTAGGGAAACAATCATGCGTAGCAAAAGATATTCTCAGAAGGAAAAGACATCACCGGTTATCGAGGAAGCAGATGAGGAAATGAATAAAGTTGTTACAAGTGTAAAAGGTTCGAAAGTGAACATGATCATAAATCAATTGGAAAAGAGTGGCCAACTAAAGGCATTAAAAAAGGGACTCAAATCTCGAAAGAGTTTAGTCTACGATAATAATGAAGAGTACGAGACGGTCTGTGTAAAGAATAATGAAGTGAGCAAATAAGGAGCTACTTACCAAGTATGAGCACGTGGATAATTGTCAGGCGTTCCCCACTTCTCGATTGTAAACATTTGTGGTCCATTGCTTCCATAGAGCTCTTTGAATCCATTCATCGGCACTCGAGATGTTCCTGTATATGAAATTAATTATTATTACTTACTATAAGTCCGTTCTGGATAGTCCTTTATTGATGGGGGTCTATAATTTTCGAATAATGCTAAATAAAGTGAACTAACCTGTGACAAATTGTAACAATCGCGCCCTCATTTCGTTCGAGAAGCTCAACACAGCCCGCCAGAACCACTGAATAATAACATGATTTGCATAATAATCTCCCTTATATAGCGTATTTCTCTTCCAATCTTTAACATCAATATTTTGAATGCCACACATGAGCAGTTCCAATTCATTCTCGTCAAATATTTTAATATTATTGAGTGGCACAATTGATCCAAAACCTTCCAAAAATGATTTCATTTGATCCTTAACTCTCGATTCAAATCTCCATTGAATAACTAAACGAATATATTCATCCTTGTTATCATTCGTCACTTCTATTTGACTGCCATTCTGTTTTAATTCCCTCTGACTAGTATATCCGAATGTCTCTTCGTCAACACAGAACGTGAGCATCAGTTCGCTCGGATCATTTTCCTTTATCCACCTGTTGATTTGTTTTTATTTGTTTGTTTTAGGATTTTAATAAAACTCGCATAGCTTATTTTTTTTTTGATACTTACAGTAATGAGTTATAGTATTCCATATCAACAGCTTCCATGTCTCTCAGTTCAATTGGCTTTTCAAGCATCATTTTGTAAAATGGACGAATAAAGAAGGCATCGAGTAATTTTCCGTGATAAACAGCCATTCCTGCCACACGTCCGATAAATCTAAGAACGAATAGTGCAACTTTAGGTTGTGGATAACAGAAAGGTTGTTTTTGATACTCACTTGAAATAGTTTAAATGTTCTTCATTACACAATCCACTAAATGGATTAATTTGCAGCGTGTAATTGTCCATCGCACTGTATTCAAACAGTCCTGAAATTGTTAAAAGAATGAGATTAGTAAGCAGTCAAGATTATGATTTCTAGGCTTAAGAATAAGGTACAACATGAGAACTTACCATAGTATGGATTAAACATTTGTTTGGACAGTAAGAAGAACCATTCTCTCGCTAGACCGCCATAGTCAAGACCTAAAACGACAAACTTATTTATATCTAGAACAAATATAATCAAGACCAAGTTATACCTGCTTCTCCTTCAAATTCTATCCATAATTTAGTTTTCAGTAAGTCAGTTTTGGTTACCGAGCTAATAATTCTAAACGAATCCTCTAAAATTGATTCACGACGAACTTTAATTTCGATTTTATTAGGTACGTTTGTCTATAAGTAAGTAAGTTCAGGGCTAATTAAGAAAGAGATGTTCAATTAGTGCCAATTAACTTACCGGTTTTCTAAGTTGACTTTTAAAGTATTCATACTTTTGCTTATAATCACGAGAATATGGTACAGCTTGTCCAGCAATATTTGGATTTGATAGTCTAGGATCTTCCCACTGCGTCGTCCTTGTATTATGATCAATAAAGAATATTCTACCGTCAATGTGTACCCTCTCTTCCCATCCTTCAGGAAGTGGTCCTAAATTGTCTTCTTGTCTCTCGTCAATCGTATTTTGAACTGCATTCGGCATTGGACTTGCACTGCCTGTACGTGGATCTACCCAACTAGTGGTCTTTCGTTGATGATCAATAAAGAAAACTCGTCCATTTGGTGCTACTTGCATTGACCAGCCTGGCGGTAATCCAGCATCTGATACTTGAGCAGCACTACCATTATTATTATTGTTATTATTATTATTACTATTTTGTCTATTTGCTGGACTATCTAAGGAACTTTGTCGAGATTGTGAAGAACTTCCTGCCGCCGAACGTTGCGTTGATGACACAGACGAAGTTTCAGAATTATCGACATCATCAGCCTAAAAAGGATTTGGAAATTAATCATATTTCAAGTATTATGTTAAGGCACAAAGAACAAAAAAACGTTCAAGTCAAATAAGGACAGTCTAAAATCAATACTGGAATTTCAAACTAATTCACAATAAATAAAAACTATACATAATAATTAGCCAGCACCAAATTAAGAGAATTAAAGTTATCGTGCGTTGTTAGTGTCTCAAGAACATTCCAACATTTAATTTTAGCTTACACTATAAGCTGTGTTATCTTCAACAGACGGTTGCCTTTGAAGCGCTGGTGCACTTCTTCTAGGTTGTGCTTGTGGTAGTGGTGGCTGTTGTTGCTGTGTTACTACTTCCGTTGAGTTTTGACTTCTTACAGGTGGTTGAGGTGCGGATCTACGCAAAGTATTACGATTCAAGCTCGTGGGAATAGCTGGAGCTGGACGTGATGGACGAATTCTACCATCTGCAGTCTGACTTGAAATTGATTGATCATTCACTGATGAATTTATCGATTGATTGTCAGTGTTGGAATCGTCCGAATGAACACTAACTTCATCTTGCTATAAAGGTTTTGATTTTGAAGGGGTTTTGTTGTAATAAAAATGTAATTAAAATTGAAGAAAAGCAAATAAAATAAATAAAGAACTTGACAAAAGATAATCGCTGTGAAGTCGGACTTAATTGGATCGATTTTAGCTTAGAAACAAAGTGAGCAGTTACAAGAGTTTTCAACGGTCATTGCAAATTCAAAAAATAACGGTTTTTCAAAATTTAAATTCTTAAAACTGTATAATTAATTTCGAGAAACGAGTAAAACCATACAACTGTTTCCGAAATTTAAAAACTGTATAAATGTTTCCAAAATTGAAAACCATACAAATGTTTTGTCAAATTTCTTATCATTTGTATGGTTTTAGAGCACAAAATCTTTAAAATTCTAGTCAACTTCACAGCAACATTTACAACCCATAATTTGAATAAAACGATAAAGTTTCTTTTAAGTTAGCCTATAAATCATGTGAATAGAGAAAAATCTTTTTGCAAGCGATAGATAAGAGGAATTGAGAGAGAAATAGAAGTAATTCAAACAAAAAAAAAAAACAGCCAACACAACTCTTTACATATTCATTTGTTTTTTTTTTTTGCTCTTACACCATCACTTTCATCACTATTGTTATCATTGACTGTTTCCTGAGTATTGGATAATTGATCTGCTTCATTATTAGTAAATTCTATATCCTCAACAATCAAATCGTCATCGTTTGGATGTAAGGCCATTAATTCAGTTATAAATGCTTCGTCTTCATCAATGTCGTCAACAGTGTCCATATTTTGTAATTGTGGCGGACTTGTTACATCAACAGCTTGTATTTGTGATTGAATCTCGCCATTTGATGACACAGTTGACGAATTAGATCCGATTGACGAGTCATTATCCTTTTATATTTGTGTTCAACGTTAATCAGTTTTTATGTACACATATTATTAATTATGCATGATATATCCACAAAAATAAAGGTAACAGACCATCGTAAAACAAAAGAGGAAATTATTCATTCATAAATTCACAAAAGAAGAATAATTGGGGATTAAAAAAAGAAGAGAAGATAAAGAAAAAAAATCACATGCAAAAAGTTCCTTCAAGGTCATTCCTCAATTTCTGCCATGTCTTTCGCATTAATCAGTTTTAAAAGTAGCAATTTAGGCACAACTTACGTTATTTTGCTCTGATTCATCCACACTAATATGAAATCGTCTTTGAAAAGCTGTTGCAATGTCACTATCAGCAGATGATTGTGGGACCAAGCTAAAATTTTAAAAAATAACAATATTAACTCCCGAATGACTCATTGAATTTATTTTTGATAATAAGAGGAAAATTCATGACGTAATTTTTATAATGAAACTTACGTAGGTCTTTCCCATTGCGTTAATCGACGTACATGATCGACATAGTATGTTCGTCCATTTGCGTCTTGTCGCTCCTCCCAGCCATTTGGCAATGGATCAGCAGGAACCGGCGTGGATGGATTCATAATCTATATAAAAATAATGTAAATAAAGCTCTGTATAAACGAATGGAATATTGAGAACTGATCGGGGAAAATATGTGGCATTTTGTGAGAAAGATAATAAAAAAAAATATTTTTTTTCTTGTGTGTGCTGTGCTGTGCTTTCTCTCCGGCTTCTCTCAGCTAGACATAACACATTATTTAGTGTGTATAACTGATAAGATATCAAGTCGCAACAAAACTATACTTACAGGTACATTTACAGAACCATTGTCCACAATCTCCCAATCATTATCACCACGTGATGAGTCTAAATCGCGTATGAATGCATGATAAATTTCGAGTGTTCCACGAACTTTTGATCGAGCACTATTGATTAGACAAAACAAACAAATTAATTGACGTTAATACTTAGCGTAGGATATTCTCTAATTTTATCTATTAATAGACTTCTCTAGTTCTCGTTTATGTTCTAGTAAATAAATGATAAGAATTTTTACTATTAAGCTCCCAATCCAACACATAAGCCACCACTAAAAGAATATTATTTTTAGACGATACAAATGATAGTCACGATCACAATAAATGAATCTACTAATGATATTTTTTAAACAGATATATTGTTCATATATTTTTGGTCTATACTGACGAAGTGCATTTTCCTAGGTAGAGTACTTAATTTTAAGTTTAAGATTTTAGCGATCATAAAATATTTGGAAAATTCAAATTTGAGAGTCAATTTTTGAAAGTTAACCGTAAGAATTTCAAATTGGTTTTAAGCTTGACAAATCCGCCTCTGTTTGGGAAAATGCACCACTAAAAGATAAGTTTGTCATACAAAACTTCAATTTCGAATCCTATAAAACGTCAATTGGAAAAAAAGTAGGATTTTTTTTCTCATGGCTTGTTGGATGTAACTCAAAACAAAAAATCATACCTAACTGACCTTCGTGGTCGAAGTTGATAAACCTTTGGCGCTATCGTTCTACCATCCTGTTCCTTTGGTATATTTATAAGCGTAAGCTCAACCATACCAAGAAAGTCATCGCGTGTAAAGCGATTCTCGTCAAATACTTGAAATACGAGCTTATGTTCATTTGGTTTCACTCGAAAGATGAATTCTTCGTTCCATTCTGGATTTAATGTCTAAAAATAATAAATTAATGATTGATATTTATTGATAAAGAGTCCCTAACTGCGTGCTGTGCTTACCTTCTTTTTCGTTTTTGTAAGTACCGAATCAATATTGACGTCTCCATTAATTGTATTTAAGTCCATTCGTACGTAGGGATCACTCGCTCCGAATATATCTTTCTTCGCGAGAGATTTACCCGCAATTACTCGAATTCTTATTTGACTAGATTCTCCGTCATTCTGCAATAACACATCAGACATGTCCAATTAACATTTTTTTTTGTGACATTTTAAACATTTTTCAAAGTCTTCAACTTAAAACTCATTATAAGCGAAAAACTTAAATTTGATGGATTATAATTCGATGAGAATAAAACATTTCCGTATTACAGTCAACATGTTATGGAGTTATAAATTAAAGAATTTGACAAAATAAAAACTATTGTTGTGTAAATGCTAGAAAGCCTGGCTTTAGTGCACATAACCCGAACAACACAAATTTCAGAGTTAGGTATATCATTTTTTGCGCAGGCAGGCTTAACAAAGCAGAAATTGATAACAAAATTGCCATTAATCCAACAAGTAAAGGTAGAATGTTGCATAGACATAGGAGCTTGTTGCATAATGATAAGAGGAAGCGCATTTTTCAGGCATTTTGCAAACTGGAAGCATCCAGTGTAAAAAATGTTAAGCATCAGACATACTGTGTGTACGTTATATCCTGGAAAATGCGCTAATGAGCTTTCAGCTGTTGAACATATTGCATTAAAAATGTCCCCATCAAATACCTTTTTTTTTTATTGCAACCCATTAATCAATCAATTGATTATGTGGCTATCATTAAAAGCCACCTTTTTGACTACGAGAGGCGGTCGACTTTGCTATTATTTGTGTGTCGTTCGAGTCAATTCTCAATAGCATAAATGTTTTCAAAATGCTTCTTCTTCCACAATTATCATTATTTTTAGGTTTATAAATAGATTGCGGCGATATGCACAACATTTTTTTACCGTGTTCAAAACTTGCTTATTAATTATTTGCATTAACGTAAACCTTGACATAATTACAATTAGTATTAAAGACATGACAATCTATTCTATAAATTTTAATTAAGATTTTATTACCTACTTCATTATTATTTCTGTGTTCAATAATGATCTTAAAGAATGCAGTGTAAAGTGATAAGGATTTATGGCAACAGTAATATGAGATAAGTAACCGTGTAGCCGTATGTATATGTGTTTGACATTATGGATTGATGGTTAAATGAATGAAATGAAGGGTTCTTAAAATTGTGCAGTACTTTTATAATTATTATTAATTTCATATTATGAATGTTTTCGGCTCATCAAAAAACTAAAGCAAGAATATTCTTAATACCTTATTAACGATCAATTTATTTTTAAAAAATAACTGTCATTCTTTTTTTGAAAAAACAACTGGATTATTCCAACAGAGTACAAAAAGTTGTACTGGAATATTTCCAGTTTTCCATTTGATATTAGAATTTGAAATTTAATTCTTAAGCTTGGAATAAATAACTGGAATAATCCAGGATTTTTGGAAAGATTTTGCATTCCAGAAACTGGAAAATATTCTAAATCCTTCCAAAAACTAATTTTGAAAATTCGAAAAAATCGTTTATTAGTCCAAACACAACAATGGTGAAATACAATACTGTATCGTCAAGAATGAGAAATAAACGTTTACAAAATATCTCAAACACATTTAATACATAATAATGTATTACAAATACTTCAATTTCCACTTTCGAATACTATTCATTCCTAGACAAATGTCTGGATTTTCCCAAAAAGCTCGCGTAAGTGAGAAAGAATTTAAAAATCCAAATAAAATGAATAATGAGATGAAAAATCGATGAATGAGTAAGGGGCTGTTCACTTATTACGTAACGCGAAAAAATTACTTCTTAGACCCCCCCCCCCCCTCGTAACAAAATTTGTATGAAAAAAAAATTTCCTGGTTTGAATATTAACAAAATCTTAGACCCCCCCCCTCCCCCTAAAAGCGTTACGTAATAAGTGAATGGCCCCTAAGATGAAAAAACATTTAGAATAAGTAGAAGAAAAAAACATGAAAATGAGCAAAAATTTCATCACCAAAAAGGAATTAATAAAGCAGAGAATTAATTAATGGATGAGATTTAAAAAATTTTGACTTCATATCCAAATCGAACTCACATTTAGTGTCTGTGATCCTGTCAAATATCCATATGCACTGCTTGCCATTATTTGCTATTCTTTTATCGTGTAAAACTTAATATTTTCTTTATGTACTAATAATATTGTTTTGGAACTGAGTTATCGGGCAAATTTTACCTACTTGATACAATTTGTTCCTTCATTAAATGGCTTGTTTTGCGATAAAAAAAAACCTCTTTTTACCGCCAAATGAATTGACAAATTTTCTAATCTTCTTTTACACAATAGTAGAAATGTATTATCCACTGATTGCAGAACTAGATAATCAATTGATAGTCTTTTTATCAACCACACATTTTTTAAAAAAATAAATGTCAAGATAATAAAGTAGTTTTTCCTTCTTTTTTTTTTATTTTTTATTTTCACACTTATCTCTGCACTATGTGGAGTTCTCGTCTCGCTATTATTATTATTATTATTTGGTACATATTTCGTGTATAGAAGCTAGTGCTAAATATATTTTTCTTGTGACGTAATGAATAAATGAATAAAAAATTATATGCTGACACCAAATACTGTCTCTTTTTTGATACACCAATTTTTGAGGGGTTTGGGGGGATTCACTATTGTTTAAAAAAATAATAAAGTTACACAATATTTCCTTATCATCAAATTATCACGTTTCAAAAATGAATGTTAATTAATTATAGTATTTTGCGAATAAAAGGGCGATCATACATGCTCTATACTCAATTTTTTGGGCGAACATATGTAGAAATAAACAGCTTCATGGCGACACACACAACACAACATATGTATTAATTGTAAAATCGAAGGAGATTATAGAATTATATGTTGTGGTGTGTTTGCGTTCATTCTAATAATATTGACAATCTCACGTTATGCAAATGTGACAGGCAAATTATCAAATGTAAATTGCCACAAATTGTGAAATGAACGAAAATCGAGGAGATTCTTAGCTACACACTCGACGACTTTTTATCATCGTGATATTAATAAAAAGTAAAGGAATGTGTGGATGTAACACAGTCATTCGCATAGTATAGACAGCCAATTAACTGGACCGTAAAGGTTCCCAAATAAAGTGTAATTTACGAAGAATTTAGCATAATTATTCCAATTTTAGGGAATGAGTCATGTTGAACGGGTTTTTAAATGTCGAGGAAAAATGTGAAATTGAGAAGTTGGAACTCACATTAGACTCGAATAATGAAACACGTCTTTGTTCTTCCGATACTCTTGAAATGCCTGCTTGAACACTTTGAGCACGACGTCTTCTCACTGGTGGATTCGGAGAATTAACTGATGCTGGTGCTATAATTGTTGGATTACTTATTTGTGACCTCATAATATTAACTTCTCTTTTGTAATAATTTTTCTTTTTTTACTCTTCTTAATTAATTTAGATCTTTAATATTATTTATCATGTTTTTACACACTATTTAGTCGCAATTGTCGTTAGAAAGCACTAATGCCCGAAACTTTAGATGCTCGATTAGCCAATTATTAGCAAATTTAGATTTTTAAACACTTATCTTGCCGAGAAAAAATTAAATTAATTTCTTTTTTAAAATACCAAAACCTTTTCTCAAATAAATACCACCCTAAAGCTGAATAAACCGCTGAATACTACTGAATTCAAAGATTCAAATTTAAAAAATCCGTTAATATTTGGTATTTTTATATATTTTATTCAGGTCATTTTTTTAAACTTTATGTTACACATTAATTAATATCATTTACAGTCTAAATTGTTACAGATATTAGGTTCTTTCATATAATTTCGTCTGTACTTAATTATATTAAATCATATATACTTGTGAATTAATTAAAATTATTAGGATAAAAAATTATACTTTAATTAAAATGAAACTAGCGTCTTCAAAATATGTAAATTTAGCTACTTAAAATGCACGAAACTGTTCCTTAATCCAAAATTTCATTCAACAAATCTCAAAACTTGATTATGCATTTCATTGCTTAATTTTATAGACTTTATCCAAAATTAACTGTGCCATGCTGGATGCAGCATGCCACAACCATTCAAATTTAATCAATCAAAAATTAATATCTTCATTTCTTCCCCTTTCCCTTACCTTTCGGCCTTCCTTGAACATTTTTATGTTGCTTGCCATTCTGTTCCTTCTTCTTTTTGCTCATGACATTTTGTTGATTCTTGGCTGTTTTCATTCGAATCGCTTTCTTAATTTTCTTCAAGCCTGCTTCTTTCTTCTGTTGATTCCGTTTCTCGATTATCTTTTTTGCAGCCTCTCGTAGCTTTCTCTTATTTTCAATAGGATTTGTAGGCTTCTTTATAGTTCTCAAGTTTCGTAAGTTATTTCGTGGCTTCTCGTTAGTCTTTTTAACTCGTAAATTCGTCTTTTTTGGTTCCTCATTCTCCTTGTCCCTCAATTTCTCTGTTATGCCTTTATCAGTATTTGTAACTGCTTTACTCGATGTTGGAGGCAACGTCTTATTATTTGGGGTGTTTGAGATATGTCCATTAATGACAATCATTGGAGGTGATTTAGCTCGCGCTCTCAGTGACTTCTCGCTACTGTTAATTGTCAAAACTGATCCACTTGAGGAACTGGAAGGAGAGGATTGTGTTGTTGGATTTTTACCATTGTTTTCTTCATCAGGATCAATAGGTTCCGTTTTAATTTGAATAGGTTGTACAAAAGGCCTTGATGGATGTACAAATTGATTGTCAGATGTATTACCATTTACAGCAGTTCCATTTGTTTCACATCCATTAACAATCATTGTAGATATACCAGATACGGATGATGTCGTCGAATTACGACGAAAAGGCTCATTAGGAATTGATGAAATAGCTGGTTGAGGACGATATCTACTGGATGTTCTTATAACATTATGAATTTGATGAATTTCAATTGAATTCTCAACTGGATGATCATCATCTTCTTTTAGTAGATTCATACCATTCTCAATCATATATTGACGGATATAAAAGTCATTCTTTAGTGCCAATCGCTTAAAATTGTATGAGACATTGAGCTGTACAATGCAGAGATCACAAATTTGTTGAGGAAGATTTTCTTTAGGGCTGACCTGTTTAAAATGAATGAGTATTGTTTGTTAAAAAAAGAGCAGCACAAAGCATATATAACGGAATGTACAGAAATAGACAGCTTATTGAGCAATACAGAAAATGACTCGGTATGCAGAATAAAATAGTGGAAAATTCATTGAAAATGTAATTTTAACTTGATGAATTGAAGTTGACGGATGCAATTGAATTAAGCTGTCATAATGCCATACATCCTTGGACGTATGGAAAAGCTTAATACAATAACAATAAAAGGAAAAAAAATACATGAAAAATTAATACAGTAAATTACGTCTCAGGAAATTAGTAAATGCGATGCAATTGCCATATAAGCACATAAATTTGCGACGTATTGACATTATGCAACATGTAGCAGAACAACTGTCTGAAAAAGGATTTTTTTTATGTCCATGACCTAATTTTAAAAATATTTTTATGACCCACATCCAAAAAGTTTTTACTTTTCAATTCTTTTATATCCATGATACATTGTTGCTGTAGTTTTTCTTCGACTGTTATAGGTCAACAACATTCGTATAAAATAGAAAAAGCTATCGAGTGAAGCGAAAAAAATGGGGGAAAAGAAGAAAATTCTTTAACAGAGCATTTTTTTTGCGCGCCTAAAAACATTCCAGCTATGGAATTTTCCCATTTTTCACACTGTAATAAGGGTTTTTCATTTAAAATTGTACCTTTAAGAGCGTCACAAATCTCAATTTTTCCGCTATTCTGTTTAATTCGTCCCGAGAAACGATATTTGTGAATCCACTATCGAAAATATCTCGCGTTCCTGGATTTAGGCATATTTTACACAATTTATGTATATCATGCATCTTATAAGCAATTTATATTGTAGATCTTCACTTAATTAAACTTATGAATTCAACAATTAATTAAACTTTTCTTTTTGGGACCAAACAATTCTTGCAAATAAAAAGTATAAAAGCCTTCATGCTTGATCAAACGATAATAAAGCATTTTTGAATCGATTCATACTTATATTTCACAAAGATTCAGGAGGTTCTAAGTCACGTGTTCGACCACAAAACAAATATTTGAAAATAACGGTTTTTACAAAATTTAAATTTTCAACGATATTTTAATATTTGAAAGTTTTAACAAGTTTAATGACAATGATGTCAGCAGTCAAAAAAGGAAACTTAATATCACTAAGCATCAAATGTTAAATCCATCCAAAATTTTTATCATAAAAACAAGATATAAATCAAATATTGGTCCAGCCAAGCAAAGTGAACAATTTAGCGCCTTGTTCACAAAAATAAATATTCAGCACATCAGCTGAATAAAATTCTAGAAAAAAATACCGAATCTTAACTATAAACTTGAAGAAAACTATTTTAAATTTGATTATTTTACGATTTTAAGCTATTTAAGGCTCAAATTAAGTACCAATAAAGGTTGCAGTGTTAAATATAGACTATACAGACATTAATTAATGTGAAAATATATTTGAAAAGACTATTAACAACGATAAATTGTGCAAAATATTATTTTTGAAGAAAAAGCATTTTTGAAATTGAATTAGATTTTGTTAAAAAGCGTACATTGAGGCAAGTTATGGCCAATTATGTTGGAAAAGACGTGAGCATCAAGCTTAAACGAGATTTGGGGATATTTCAAGGTAAAAATTGTTGATTGTATAAGATCCAGTAAAAGTTGATTGTTCATCATTTTAAATCTTTAATTAAATGCAGGAAAGATTATTAAACCGGAAGTTGATTCGATAACAATCAACAATGTATTTCATAATGGAGTAAAATTGAAAAAGTTTGAAGCTCATGTAACGATTGCTCGGGAAGAAATTGAGAATATAACATTTATTCAGGTTGTTGATCCTGTGGAAGCAGCTAATAGAAGCGTCCGAAATACTCCAGTTACTCAAAATACTTCGCCAAAAGAGTCTGAACCGCAAAAACCCACAAAATCTCCACCAAGCTTTACAAATAAGAAACCTAATCAGTATGATGGCAATAAGCAGCAACACAAGACCACACGACCGATTCCAATAAAGTCGCGTAATACTCCAAACTACATTTCATCATCCGCGCCACACTCGAAAGCTTTAGAATCACAACTAAATGGTAAAAGGAATGGAAATGGAAATCTTAATGGTAATGGTAATGGAAATGGAAACGGTAATAAGAGACACAGGAATTACGATTTAATGCAACCTGATGATTTTTCAGATCAGGGAGATTTTGACTTTGAATCCAATAATGCAATGTTCGACAAGAAAAGTATCTTTCAAGAAATTGAGGCAGAGACGAATCCTGATAAGCCTGATCTCGTGAGACAAATTGGTAAGCCTGAGGAAAAGTATAGGCATGATCAGAACATCCTAGATTCGATGTTTATGCAATTTAAAAATATTCAACTCGAATTTAAGCCAAAACAAGAATACACTACCGACGAACCTGGACTTTTAATCCCTTCTATCCCACAATCATTGCGAAATCGCATACAAAATTTAGCTGCTAGTCATGGATATAGTATGGAAAGACAAATTGATTTCCTTGCGCGTGGCGCTACTGAACTTGCTATTCAATTACTTGGTGGATCACGTAGATTCTCTCCTAAGAATCTGCATCAATGGCCGAGAGTGACGATAATTTGTGATGAACCTTATAATATGCTTAAAAGTGAGATGGGGCTATGTACAGCACGACAATTAGCTTGTCATGGCGTTAATGTGATGGTTTTTGTTAAAACTGCAACAACAAATCCAAAAGAATCGAAAGAATTGGAACTGTATACAGCAACAGGCAATGACTTTACTGGAAATGTTAAGGACCTGACTCCTTGTGATCTTATTATCTTGTCTGTTTCAAATATGAATCAAAACAGTCAAATTGTTCGTTATATCCAACAAAATCGTGTAATGGTAATGGCAATTGATCCACCAGTGATGGGAGTAAATCCAGGAGAGATTAATATAAGAAATACAGTCATACCGATACTCCCATTAGATGACATTCATACCTCGTGCGGGAAATTGCATCTTGTCAATTTAGGCATCTCCAACAAGTTCTTTAAAGATGCAGGAATAAAATATTTTCCGATATTTGGAAGTCGCTCTCTGATTCCATTGCATTTAAAGGCTTGATTTTAAAAGAAAGTGAACGGTAGAAGAAAAGTTTGTAAGTGAAAGTTAATTGAAGAAACATCAAAAGAGAAAAAAAAGAACTGAAAAATAACAAAGTAAAGAAATGCTTACAAACTGAAATTTCCGTGCTGTTTTTAATCGATTTCAAGTATTTTTCAGGCTTATTGAATGATCAAATTTAACTTCAGAGAAATATTTGAAAAATAACCGTCAGAAAATATTTGAAAATTTTAGGGTTTGCCAAATTGACATGCGCATGTATATCTGAGAAAAAAAAATTGAAACTTCTAATTTTGGTAAGACTGTACGAGATGGGGCACTCTTTATTTTTCAATTTTTAAAGTGTTTTCTTATTGCTTTTAATGTGTACATTTATATTGCAGTTAATTTGCAGGAGGTTTACAGTTGATCAAAAAAATTTATTTTTGCAGTTGATTTGCAGTTGAGAAGTTTTATTCAACTAATGTTAAGAAAAGATGAAACTAAAAAGCCGTTTTATATTTTGTAAAAGGGTTAATATTACAAATTAGAATTGAATTCAATCGAATAAAATAACAATTAAATAAAATCAAAGATCATCAAATAATCTTCAGAAATTTAAAAGAATAAATAAAAATTTGCAGTTGATTTGCAGATCATCAAAAACAATTTTGAGAAATTTTAAAGAATAAATGAAAATTTGCAGTTGATTTGCAGTTGAGAAGTTTTATTCAACTAATGTTAAGAAAAGATGAAACTAAAAAGCCGTTTTATATTTTGTAAAAGGGTTAATATTACAAATTAGAATTGAATTCAATCGAATAAAATAACAATTAAATAAAATCAAAGATCATCAAATAATCTTCAGAAATTTAAAAGAATAAATAAAAATTTGCAGTTGATTTGCAGATCATCAAAAACAATTTTGAGAAATTTTAAAGAATAAATGAAAATTTGCAGTTGAGAAGTTTTATTCAACTAATGTTAAGAAAAGATGAAACTAAAAAGCCGTTTTATATTTTGTAAAAGGGTTAATATTACAAATTAGAATTGAATTCAATCGAATAAAATAACAATTAAATAAAATCAAAGATCATCAAATAATCTTCAGAAATTTAAAAGAATAAATAAAAATTTGCAGTTGATTTGCAGATCATCAAAAACAATTTTGAGAAATTTTAAAGAATAAATGAAAATTTGCAGTTGATTTGCAGTTGAGAAGTTTTATTCAACTAATGTTAAGAAAAGATGAAACTAAAAAGCCGTTTTATATTTTGTAAAAGGGTTAATACAAAAAATTAGAATTGAATTAAAATCAAAGATCATCAAATAATTTTCAGAAATTTAAAAGAATAAATAAAAATCTGCAGTTGATTTGCAGATCATCGAAAACAATTTTGAGAAATTTTAAAGAATAAATGAAAATTTGCAGTTGATTTGCAGTTGAGAAGTTTTATTCAACTAATGTTAAGAAAAGATGAAACTAAAAAGCCGTTTTATATTTTGTAAAAGGGTTAATATTACAAATTAGAATTGAATTCAATCGAATAAAATAACAATTAAATAAAATCAAAGATCATCAAATAATCTTCAGAAATTTAAAAGAATAAATAAAAATCTGCAGTTGATTTGCAGATCATCGAAAACAATTTTGAGAAATTTTAAAGAATAAATGAAAATTTGCAGTTGATTTGCAGTTGAGAAGTTTTATTCAACTAATGTTAAGAAAAGATGAAACTAAAAAGCCGTTTTATATTTTGTAAAAGGGTTAATATTACAAATTAGAATTGAATTCAATCGAATAAAATAACAATTAAATAAAATCAAAGATCATCAAATAATCTTCAGAAATTTAAAAGAATAAATAAAAATTTGCAGTTGATTTGCAGATCATCAAAAACTATTTTGAAAATTTGAAAAATTTAAAATATATTCAAACGGTCGAAATCATTAAAGCACTGTTTTTACATCACAGGCTAATGAATTACTGCGAGAATTGTTTGAAGTTGCTTTAAAAGCAGAAAAAAACATCTTTACTAAAAAAGTAGGACCAAACAAACAACCTTTGAGATATGATATGATTATTGTGAAATATATTTTCTTTTAAAAAAAACTACGATTTAGAAGAGAAAACCTCAATTGCAAACCTCCTGCAAACCACCTGCAAAAATAAAATATTTGATCAACTGCAAATCACCTGCAAAAATAAATTTTTTGATCAACTGCAAACCTCCTGCAAACCACCTGCAAAAATAAATTTTTTTGATCAACTGCAAACCTCCTGCAAACCACCTGCAAAAATAAAATTATTTGATCAACTGCAAACCTCCTGCAAACCACCTGCAAAAATAAATTTTTTTGATCAACTGCAAACCTCCTGCAAATTAACTATCGCCACAAAAGTTGTTTTTATTAATGTACGCATTAAAAGCAATAAGAAAACACTTTAAAAATTGAAAAATAAAGGGTGCCCCATCTCGTACAGTTTAGCCGAAAATTTTGACAGTAATTTGAAAACTCAACGGATAATAACGATCAGCAACATTAAAACAACTTTTGACTTTTCTTTGACTTAAAATTTATTTCAAGATATCTCCTTAAACTTATATATATATTAATATTATTACATGATCTAAGCGGCAATACCCCTATCAATTTAAAAGGATGAATCATATTTCTCAGAAAAAAAAACCTTAATCATCACTAAAATTTCTCATACTTCCTTTATATCTCTGCATCGCTCAGATCATTTTAGAGTTTGTGGATTTATTTTCTCTTTCCCGATTTCGTTGTGACCCACATTTTGTATGGATTTGCAGATACTTTCGTCAATCGCGTAGTAAATGGTTCTTTTGATTCAACTTTCGTCTGTTCGGAGATGTGGCTTACAATGTTGTCAAATGCCTGTCCAGGACTGGTTCCATATTGCTCTCGCCATACTAATTCGTCTAAGAATTGCTGAATAATTTGACGGCTCAAAAGTGAGAGGGTATTTTGGAACATACGAGGAACAATGCGTCTTAAATAGTCCATAATTTGAGCATTACTATTGGGTGCTCTAGCTTGATCTTGTGGCGAGACTTGAACGATATTTTTAAATCCCATTGAATGCAAAACATTCTTGTCGACAGTTAAATCTGTTAATATTGTTGAATCCTTTTGTACCCAATCAGCTAGTGGTTCCAATATCTTTTGGAACCTCTTTTTATGATTATTTTCACCATCAGCGAGAGGCTCAACAGCACGTAATCTTACAATTTTTTGATCTGGATCGAAAATTCCAAGAACTTCAACCTTTACTTGACGCTGCTTTCCATCCTGAGTTGTTGTTCCGAGAGAAATGACACCAATTTCAATTTTTTTATTATGTCCACCCATTTTACCCATATGTGATTGCAAGGCTATTGTACAAGCTGATCTAAGCCATGAATAGAAGTTCTTCAAGTATAGATTATCGACTTTAACCCATTGAACGACATTCGTAACGTTAGTTTGACAGACCCAATGATAAATCAATTTTAATAAGACTGTCGGGGCATATGGAGCAGCTTCAAAAATGGATCGATTGAATACAGAAACGAATCGAGTTGGGCAACATTGAGAAATCCATACATAACCGCCACTATATGGAAATTTAGCAGCATCACTGTACATGCCAAGCTTAAGATTTCTTCCAGTATGGACTTGACATTGTTGTTCGGACTTAATTAAACCATTTTGAATAAGCCATTCAGTGAATTTAACAGCTGGATGCATAAGAACTCCTTTTACCTTATTATCCAAAGCAGAACGATCGTTTTTGAATGAATCCTTAACTTTTAGTGATGGACGAGCAACGACAACAAGGCTGGGGAAAGTCTTGCCATTAAGCTTATTAAATGCCACTTCTGTTGAATCTCCAGCATTGTCTTCTTTAGTAAGATCAACAACAGCTGGTTTCTTTTTAGCTGCTTCCGTCCCAACAACCAGTCCTCCAATGGCTGTTGATTCTGTTGGACGTACGTTACTGACACTTGTAATGCTCGGTGACTTTTCAACTTTTTCCTTTTTGACTTCCTTAACTTTCATTTCTTTCTTAATCTTTGCTTTACGTCTTGATAATGGAATTGTATCCTCATCGTCATCATCAGAGTCGACAGCTCTAGGCTCTGGTTCTCTCTTACGTCCTCTTTCTCGCTTGGGTTCCTTCTTATTGAATGCAGAAATTGGTTTTGAGAAGCTTTCTAATTCTGGTGCTGGACCAAGAATCTCATAGGCAGAGAAGATTTCACCTGAATAAATGTTGTGAGCATTTCCAATCAGTTCCTTTAATCGATTCTTGACGTCATTGTGTTCCTTTAAGCCTTTTTCATAATATTCTTTCTGGATCTCTGATAGTTCCTCATCAAAGCAGTCTAATTGTAATGTTTGATTGGGATCTGCTGGCGATGCTAAAACAATGACTGAATCATCATCAGTTTCCGTCTCTGTTGCTGTAACCATCCTAAAGATTAATTAAATTTGTTTATTTTTTAAAATTATAAAAACTTTAGGAAATTGGATGATTTCTTGATGATAATGACTGTAAAGTTACGCACCTGCTTGTTATGCACTTGGTTGATTTTTTTAAAGTCCTGTTTGATCAGTATTTATAGACTAATTAATGAAATTATGATTGTTGACAATCGGCGTTGGTTTGTGTGTGTTTAGAAATAAAACTGAGAAAAAAATCACTGAACGCACCCAATTTTTCAAAACCTCTCAACAGTTTCTCGTAAAACATTTGTGAGGTTTTTGAGGTGAAAAATTTTAAACGGGTGGTGAAACGTGACTGAATGTTAAACATAAGGTGATTTTTCATTTACTGGGGGTCCTCGATTTGAGTAGATTCTATTTGAGTAGATTCGATTTGAACAGAAAATTTTTTACCCACCAAAATATTCGATTTGAGTAGATTTCTTCCTGTTTTCTTCGATTTGAATTGTTTACAAAACAAATATTTTTGATAAAAACATTTCAGAAAATATTTTTAAAACATAAATTTTACTGCAATAAGCGTGAACTTATCATATTGATCGAAAATTGAATACTAAAGTTACAAAATTAAAGTAAAAATTTAAAAAATCGATATAAAATTAACGGTTTTAAAAAGTTCAAATTCAAAAACCCTACAAATTGTTCGGTGAAATAACATTTGCAAGGTTCTCATATTTTTGTTTTGTTTCAAAAACATATTTTTTTTGTGAATTTCTGTATAAAAACAATATTAATATGCGTTGAAATAAATTAAGGTATCAAAAACACTTAGGAAAAGTTAAGAAACGAGGTAAAATGTGCAAAAAATTATCAAAATTTTCATTGTTTTGATACATTTTTTGGACTTTGGAACAAAACATGTGATTTTGTATGGATTCTTTGCCTCGATTTGAATAGATTCGATTTGAGTAGAAATTTTTTGGAACAAAACAACTACTCAAATCGAGGACCCCCAGTATAATGAAATGAAGATGAAAGTGTCACAGACATATTACTTTCAATTTTTATTGATTGCAGACACACGCTCGTGATATAAATAATAAATAGTACATAAAGACGTATTGAATGAAATTGAAATCATATAAATGTGATACACGGAACCAATTAGGTCAGCTGATCAAGACAATATAATTGAATATAATCAATAAAGTACATTTAAAGGATGTCTAATAAGATTAGACAGTTCACAAGTTTGCAGATTAATACTTTCCATATATTTATAGCATATATTGTGTCTTAGAATAGACGAGAACTTGATCAGGCGGAATGTTGAGTAGGCGTCAAATCATTTAATACACACTAATGTGCAAGATCACAATGGTATTTTAAGATTTATCTGCTGTTTATGTCTTTTTCATTTGACAAGAATTTGAGAAATTGATGGACATGCCTAAAAATAAGCTTTTATATCATCATGATCTTAAAATTTTGCACCAATTTGAATTACTAATAATTTCTTTTACAAAGTTCCTTTAATTGGATATTCCTTACCTGATTTATTGTTATTGTGGAATCTGTTGTTGATCTTAATGTTTTCCTATGAGTATAGTTTTTCTTAAGCCTTGTATCTCGCCAAAAAGATTAATATCTCAGTCAGTCGAACACCGTTAATCTCATGTCATTCACTTTTTGAAAAGCTCGTAGCCAAAACACTATTCAATATTCAATACTCCAGTACGTCAAAATTTAAATTCATTTTAACTGTTAAAGCCATAAATATGTTTCTTTTAGTTATAAGTTCTTTAACGATATCAACATATCATTGTAACTTAATTTAATTATATGCATAAAATATGAAAAGGCTAAGTAAGGTTTTTATGCCATCTGAAATAGTTTAAATACTTTTCACATGGCTTTTCCTTGCGAGTAATAAATAAATAAATAATAATAATAATAATGATGAAGAACAATTGAGTGATTGTGGAGAAAAATAAGAAAATGTCAACACATGATTTAATGATAATCAACTCGTTGTGCCCCATGCATTGTTTATGAATAACAAATACATACAATATTGTGAGTGATAGCGATGTGTGTATTCATCACTCACGTCCCTCTAAATCGTCAACATACTCGCGGTTACCATGCAACACCACCAAATTTATATTAAATTAACAAAAAAGTTATTCTTTTATTGATTATTTTCCTTTCCTTCTTTTCACTCAACATTCGTCCACAGAGACAAGCAAAAGCACTCGCGTGTAGTCTGTTCATTATAGCGAGACTCAAGCTATGTTTGTGTAAAAAAACAATATTTTTTTTTGTCGTAGCAAAAATATCTTTCAGTCAGGTAATATGAATTAAAACGTCGAGTACAAGCGAGCAACGCGAACGAGAAATTATTCGAGAAAAAAATTAAAATAATATAAAAAAAATTGTGTGTGCATTGTGAACAAAAATTCTAAGCAGGCAGTACACAAAAAAAAATTATTAATGCATAGACTAGTCCGGGTATGAGAGAACAAGTTAATCTCAACGCAATATTATGCAATTAAAAATTGCACAGGATAAAGGTTGGATTTTTTTTTTGGGGCTTGACTTGTGGATTGTGATTAGTTTAATTATAGATTTTTTAATTGCTAGCTTCAAATTATAATTTTTATGATCAGATGTTTCTATAGATCCCCAGCAAAAATAAACATAATATTGAATTAATAAGACAATAGTCATAAATAATTCCAATCAAATGTCTATTGAAGTTTAGCTAGTAAGGAAAGTCCACGATTCGATCAGTGAATAAATTGTCAATTTTGCACAAAAAATAGAAATAAAACTTGTGAGAAAAAAAACTACGTCGTTTATTGCAAAAATATAGCTACTTTGATCCTGCCTTTTATAGGTGCGTGCTCTAAACGAATTTAGTAGTTTTATCAATTTTGTTTCTATCATGCTGAATGTTGAGCTGCATAGATTTTGTCTATTGGGTTATTTTTTTAATGATGTACAATTGAGAATTTTGATTTAAGGGTAGCTAAGTTCCTTAGGATTTTGTTTAAAGCTCTCCTAGACATAATCAAGTGTGATAAACTAAGCAACTGTATTTTCATCAATTTGACCTGCACCCCCCCATTAGACATCATTATTGAATGAACCCCAAAAAGCGATTCTAAATGAGAAATTTACCGGAAATTTTTAATGGCTTATTGGCTATAAAATAAAGTTTGAGAAAAACAAATAAAATTCTTAAGCAAATTATTAGTCATCTTCAGGCAGATATTTTTGGCACATTCTCTACGAAGCCATATACTTTGCCTACAAGATTTCCTATTGATTAAATTAGTTTGTGAAATATCGAATATTCTATTTGTTCTCAATAAAACCTTTATAGCTGAAATAATCCATAGATGGTGGAATTGAATGAACAGAATTTAATGAAGTGCTTGATTTTGCTAGTTAAGGAATCACATTAATCTTTACTGGTTTTAAATAGTGTATCGGGTTGAAACCCAATGCGGATTATATTCACACCGTACCATCAAAAGTCTTATGGATAGACCAAGATTTGCCCATCATAAGTATGAAGGTATGGAGCTTGATAAGTCAACTGAGCTTCGCTCAGCATAAGTTTGAAGTTATAAAGCTAGCGATTCATCAGAGCTTCGCCCAGCATAAGTTTGAAGGTAAGAAGCTTGACGAATATGCCAAACATTCTTTAAAACTTTGTTAAAAATTTTTTTCATCCAAAGTTTAATTTTATAAAAATCACAGTCAACTTTTGTTTTAAAAAATTCGTAAGAAAGGAAAGTTTTTTGCTTTTTCTGAAGCAACGGCTGTTCCTACCTTGCCCAAAAACAATATAGCTCTTCTATAGAGCAGCACGGATCAAATGTAAAAAACTAGAAGTCTCTATGATGCCTCGTTATTGAGATTTCTTGCTGATTAACTTGCTTGCTTGTTTGCTTACAGAAAGCGTATTTTGCGATGCCACAACCAATTTGAAATCTGTTTTTTGAAAATGATGTAAAATTTCAGGCACAAACTTTTCTTCTGAGACCTTTTATAACCAATTTTGCTTCGTTTTCTCACAAAATGCGAAAAACTGATTTTTCAATCTGAACAAAACCAATAGATTCACACTTGAAAACGGTGTGAATATAAAAAGTAGTTTTTAAATAAATATCATACGGCCTGTTTCACTAAAGTGGATTATCCTCGATTTCGGATTATCCACTTCAGGTTTTCGGAAATATCTCCAGACGCTTAAGGTTATTAAGAGATCTAAAGTGTGATCTCCTTAAAGTACTTTGCTCCTTAAATTAACATATACTAAGAATTTTTATATCTTCATTAGTTTGAGAATTATAGCAAAAATTGAAGTTAATCTTCTAGATTTGGCTGGAAAATTGAATAATTAATACTTCTGAATGAAAAGTAAAAGTTTAAAGTGTACAGAAATTTCAGGCATACTTCACTCTTTTATAATCCAAAATTAGAAATACCACACCTTCCATAAAGTTTAAGATATTTACAAAAAACTGAAATGGATGATCCGAAATCGAGGATAATCCACTTTAGTGAAACAGGCCGTATCGTATAGTTCTTAATGCATTTGATTCTTCTTTTAAGTTATGATCGCATAGCTTTGGAGTTTGGAGTGGAATAACTAGGTTTTAGATTCTCACAGCATGTAGAGGAACATTTCTCAATGTTTTTACACTTTTAAAGAGAATTTCAGTTAATATTCAAGTTAATATTCCCGATTTGACTCTTAACCCTCTAGAAGTTTTAAAAAGACAGTAATGCCTAGAAGTTTGACTTTGATTATGATTTTTAAATGACAAATTCACTTCTTCATCATCAAATTGTTCTTCCGACACAATCAAAGCAATCTTTTCACATAAATTCATTAAAATCTTTCAATTTTTTTGGCATTAATCTCGACAATTTTACACAATAAATCATTGTGAGTTATATGTTGATCATCAAACATGACATCTGCTTCCTATATAGTATTACAAGAAGAGGTCAAAAGCTTTTCAATATTCAGTTTTTTTTTAAATTTTTAAAAACAAGTGAGTAAGTAAATCACTCAAGTACTTGTCATCAACAACAAATATGTAGACTGTCAGGTAACCATCGAGATTTTCAAATAATTTCCAAAAGTTTCTTGACCCGCGAGGCTCATTTTCTACACCCAAAAAAATATATATATATATATATATATA